TTACTATCCTAATCATAGTTGAATAAACTGAGGCTCAGAGCAGTAGAATGACTTGTCCAAGTTGAGGGTGTCTGGGCCCAAAGCCTGAGCTTTGACCACTCCCCTGTGTGCTGTCTCTCTACACACTAGGGCCCATGATTCACACTGGAACTTCTGGAGAAAAAAAACAGCCTCCCTCGTGCTGCTCCACCCACCTTACCACCCTAATTCCAAGAGCATTTTGTCCCCAGATAGTTCTAAATGATTTCTGGCCCTTTCCAAAAAAAAAAAAAAAAAAAAAAATCATCCTCAGAGAAGGAAGATATTTCTCCCAGTGACACACATGCGTCCTTAACTCACACCACTGCTTGAAACTGTCACACCCACTGACATCCTGTCTCCCGGGCATCATTTGAGTGCGCGCACGCGCGCGCGCGCGCGCGCACACACACACACACACACACACACACCCTCATTCACAAAAAGGACTCATTTAATTCTCTAGGGTGATAGCTGGGGATTGAGACATTTAGGGCCGTGACTCTGCCAAAAGTAAGTCAGTGCCAGCGCCCTGCTGACCACCCCTGCTAGCTTTGGAAGACCACTACCAGTCTGGGAATATCCAGATGAGGGCCATCGGAGACTTGCTCTCTGCTCCCAAACTGCCATATAGGTTCAACGGGAAAAGCTCAAAGTATAGGTCAGAATCTGTTTAGCCACTTCCTAGCAGGAAGTCTTTTACAAGTTATTTACCCTCTCAATCTCCTTATCTGCAAAGACTAAGAATACCTACCTCAGTGGGCTGGCTGTGAGATTAAAAATAAAGCATGCCCTGGGGTGCCTGGCTGACCCAGTCTGTAGAGCACAGGACGCTTGATCTTGAGGTTGTGAGTTCAAGCCCCGAGTTGTGTACAGAGATTACTTAATAATTAATTAATTGGTAGACTTCACAGACTTTTTTTCTCCTCTATGTCCTCACTCCTCCCTCTTCTCCTGGCCATTAGCATGCGAAGTTCCTGGTACAGCAGTCTGAGAGAAGAGCCCAGGACTGACCTAAAGGACCCCACAATCCCATTGTATGAAGAAACTATTTCCCTGGCAGCCAACTGGCTTAGGTTGAACATATTCCATATCCTGATTTCTGGGTAGTTTGGAGGCTTGGAATTTTTTAGCAGGTTTTAAGATTGCTACTCACTGCCTTGAAATGTCTTCCTTTCACTGAGCATTAATATACCTCTCTGGGTTAGTTCCAGCCCAACTTCAGAAAATAAGTACAATATCTTCCCCAGTTTACCTGATGTTACATTTTCTCTTTCTTGTGTTTTAAGTTTATTTATTTTATTTTGACAGGGGAGGGACAGAGAGAGGGAGAGAGAATCCCAAACACGCTCAGTTCCTTCAGCACAAAGCCCAACGCGGGCCTCGATCTCATGAACGGTGAAATCATGGCCTGAGCTGAAACCAAGTCAGAAGCTTAACTGCCTGAGCCACCCAGGCGCCCCTGGCTTTACATTTTCAAAATGTTTTCTTTTGTATGTCATTTGTTTGGTTATTTTTTTTTGTTTAAGCACCAGTTTTCTCCTTTGTTTGAATACAGTCTTATTCAGAGTCCTAATATGTAAGAGACAAATGGGGCCCTTGCTTTGAATGGAGACAACCCGGGCACCACAGTCTCTACTCTCACCTCCCATTCACACTACCTCTTTGTCAGCACCTGGCCAGAGAACACCACTCGTGCACCTACATTTCCAAATCCTGTTCCTTTATTCTAACCACTCCCTAACTGACCAGGCTGGGCGAATACAGCCTGGCCATGTTCTCTGTTACTTCAGTCTATTAATCAGAATCTTTCACAGGCTTTTCATCCTCTCCTTAATGTTGGGGACTCCAAATATCTCTCCTCTCTTCTTGCTCGCCTCCTTCTCTGTTCTCACCCAACTTCCAGGCCTCTAGCTTTTTAATTTCTTTTTTAATTGGAGAGACAGAGAGCATGCACGAGTAGGGGAGAGGGGGAGAGGGTGGAGGGAGGGGGAGGAGATTGAAAGAGAGATTGAATCTCAAGCAGGCTCCATGGTCAGCACGGAGCCTGACACAGGGCTCAATGCAACGCTTGATCCCATGACTCTGGGATCACGACCTGAGCTGAAATCAAGAGTTGAACACCTGACTGACTGAGCCACCCAGGCGCCCCAAGGCCTCTAGCTTTTATCTAAACTAAGTCCCCAGTTGGCATCTCCAGCCTAAAATCTGTCCTGAATGTTAGTCAGACCCCATATATCCATTGGCAGCTGACCACACAACAGGTATTCGTTCAAGGTCAAGGAAGCAAGAGACCATGCAGGATGAAGTGGCTGAGCACCTGGCCAGTTTTGAGGCTTTAGACAAATACATTCACTTAGAGAAGTAGCCAGGGTTGGAAGTGAGCCTGGAGCTGGGAGGGGCCCTGTGCCTTTTTTGACTACCTTCTATGTACCTCTCGCTGTCTTGCTTTCCTTCTTTCATCTCTCTCTTAGCCCTAACAATGATCAGGAACATATTACCCTGACCTGTTGAAAAGGGATCACTGCCCCCCATCTTCATCCAACACACCCAGCTAGGATTCTGGTGTAGCTAGCTAAGGCCAGAAAAAATATGGATTAAGACTCCAGTATCCCAGCCTAACTTAAGGAGAAGTTGAATTACCATGCTGTACACCTGACATTAGTGTAACATCATGTGTCCACTATACTCAGATTTTAAAAATAAATAAAAAGACTGCAGCATGCCAGATTTAGCTTAAAGCATAGAGATTTTTATGAAAATGATAGTAAAGGTGGAGGGAGATCAAATACTTCAACAGGCTTCTGAGTGCTATCCTTCTGTCTGTGGAGGAGACCCAGTCTTCCCTGTGGTCAGTCAAGGGCAGCGCAATCCACCACACTGGATAGGCACAACCATTGTGATGGTAACCATACGGCAGATACCTCCCAAGAGAAACTCGGGTTCCCTCCCTGGTGGGAGCTTTAGCTCCCGCCCTTGGGAAGAGCAGAGTGGTCTGTGGGGAGTGACTAAGGCCTGAGACAAATCTAAGACCTCGGCTGAGAACTCTGAGACCTTGGTCGGTTCAGTCCTCAACTCTGACTCACCCTGTCAGCTCCATGTGGAGCAGCACAGAAGCCTTAAAGGCCTAGGGGTTGGCCTGGGGACTACAGAGGAAACCTGACCTGCTTTCCAAATTGGGGGCCAAGTGGGGAAGGATGTGAGGGAATATAGAGAAGTGGCAGCAGGTTGAAAGAAGAGACTTGGAAAACAAGCTAAAACTAAGGATTGCAAGTGGGAGCTGACCCAACCGGAGAAGGGCCTCATGGTTTGTCTATAGGAATCCACACTGTCCATCAAAGAACTAGCCCCGTAAGATTTGGAGGGCCTGTGGTAGTATCATCTAATGGGGCTCCTTCTTTCACAAAAAGAAGCTGCGGGCTGGTTGGGGTTGAATAGTGAAGCCTCAAAACTACCATAGAGCTCAGTCACTCTAGGAAGGCTTTCTTCCTGGCCTGCCTCCCCCAGGGTCTCTGATGTGTGTTTCTATATGCATGTCTGCTTGTGCCTAGAGATGAGAAGCTTTAAGAGTGGGAATCTTGGGGCGCCTGGGAGGCTTGGTCAGTTAAGCGGCTGACTCCGGCTCAGGTCATGATCTCACGGTTGATGACTTCAAGCCCTGTGTCAGGCTGTGTGCTGGAGCCTGCTTCAGATTCTGTCTCCCTCTCTCTGCCCCTCCCCCACTCACACTCTGTCTCTTAAAACTGAATAAACATTTTAAAAAAAGGAGAAAAAAGAGTGGGAATCTCCTCTCTCTTGTACGATGCTAAAGAGTCCAGTTGCCCAAGAACTGGTCCCACTCTGTCATTTCCCTGCACGTGATGACAGAGGAGATTGACAGTGGTAGACTTCCTAAACTGAGGAGCCGGGGCACCCTTCAAGTCAGATGTCCCATCCTCGCTGACAGGACAGGAATGAGGGACCAGAGCTAGAGGGAATAGGTGAAAAAAACAGCACTCAGATGGGAAGAAGCCTGAGTTGGCCTGAAATGCTCTCTCTCCCTTGAACACTTTCTCTCATATTCTCAATTGTACAGTCCAGGATTGGACAGCGGGTTGTCTCGCTGGGTTCGCCAACTCTCCTGTGTGAGAGCCTTGACTTCCTGAACAGATCCAGGCTCCTTCTCGGTCATCCCCTTTCTTTCCCTCTCGGAACACCTAGCATGGGTAGGCTCATACTCTTCACTTGTAGTAAAAGCTACAAGTCAACTATGGCAGTAGGGGAAAGCTAGTGATCCCCTGCTTGCAGATTTAGGAAACACCGAGTTGCTAACCTTCCTCAGAGTCAGGAACATGGACTAAGACACTGCTTCTGAAACCTGGCTCATCCTGTCACTCAGTCACCTACCAGGCAGGACCCAGGAGTCTGTGTTTTTATGGAGCCCTTGCACGTCATGACCTCCCCAAATCCTCAGATGTGTGGCTCATGTACAACTACTGGATTTGCAGAGCAGTGTGGGTACAGTCTCTTCATACAAGACAGTTCAAGGCTACCTCTTCCAGGTCTCTCATCATTAATCCTGTTTCCTCCACATTTCCCTAAAGCCCTCTGATTTCCCAGATTTCAAGCATCTCTGTTCACCTCTTATGCTGGCTTACCCCCAACAGAACAAAGGCTCATCCAGGGAAAGGGCTGGCTTAATGTTTTATTCTACACTTGAGCTCTTGATTGAAGTAAGAAAGTCAAGAAAAATGCCAAATCGGGAGATGGGTCCTTAGAGGGACTCTAGTCTGAGCCAACAGCAGGTCCTTTTGAGTCAGATGACCTGGGTTCTTGATTGGCTAATTAAATTTTCCTGTGCCTAGGGTTTTTTTTGTTTGTTTGTTTTTTGGTCAATACCTACCTCAAAAGGTTGTTTTGAGGGTGGTGAATATGATCTAGAAAGCGCTTTGAATAGTTTGTGGAACAGAATTAAGGACCCAGTAAATGTTGGCTGCTATGACTTTTATTAAGAACACCCCAATATTTGCACACTCTCCAGGCCAGAACTGCTCCCACCAGGAAGGCTGGCACTGGTAAACAAGGAGTAGCTACATGGCACAGAAAGTGGCGCTATGTGGACAGAGCTTCTGGTTCCATCCTATGAGAGAGATGCCAGATCTTCCCAGGAAGACCAGAGTACCCCTACACATGGTGTTTACTTGGGAGGATGACCCCTTTGGGACTCTGTAGGCCTCAGGGCCCGATGCCAGGAGGTTCTACCTGGGAGCATCAATTGCCAACTCTGTTATCCAACATGCATCATGGGCCCAGGGATCAACTACCTGGAATTTAAGAATGGTTTATACTCTGAAAGGAAAGCTTAAAGAAAAAAAAAAAAACCAACTTCTGGTTCCCAAGGACAAAACACTATCTTGATCTTTGAAAGGGCACTGCAATGAAGAGGCCAAAGGCTTTGTGAGCAGACCAACCTGAGCTCCAGTTCCAGAGCAAATCGCTATAACCTTCCGGACCTTACCTTCCTCATCTATACACAGAAAGAAGGGAGTGAGAATCATCATCTCACTGGATTATTGTTAGGTTTGAATGAGGTGATGGGGGGAATAGCCCAAGCTAAGAGATTGGCACCCACCTAGCATTCAACTGGTGGTGCCCTTTGCTTGCCCAGGACTAGGGCCATGGCCTGTGGACAAGGCAGACGGCTCTGAGAACTGAGTCTCAGATACCCAGGCCTCGGGTCCCTCCCTGCCTCCCCATCCCTCCCAGACCAGCTCTTGGATCCCCTCTCACCTTCCCGGCCCCAGACTGCTACTAAATTGATGAAGCTAAAAGGATTTGATCATGTCGGTATATTTATATGTAAATACAAAACTGTATCGCTATAAGATATTGAATATGAACATTTACAATTATTTTCTGAATCTGACTCAGTCCATTGACCTTAAATACAAAATGAAAAGATTGTAAAAATAAGAATATATACATTCAAAGAGCTTATTACAGTATAAAATTATTGAGGTCTGATCAGCCGCCAACCTCATCTGTGATGGGGGAAGGTTTAGGGGTTCCTGGCCAGGGACTCCAGATTCCTGGAGGGGTTCCTGGCCTGGTGTGTCAGGCCAGGCAGGCCAGGGGGCACACAGGTACAGGCTGGGTGAACAGGGGGCAAACAGTGATTGCACGCAACTGCCTCATCCAGCCAGGGGTCAAGCTTTTTATTGACACAGAACCCACCCAGCTTGAGCTCCAAGGTGTGGCAGGCTGCTAGGCAGGAAGAGATGGGCATTTGAGTGGACAGGGCCAAGTTGCATAAGGAAAGGAACTTTCTAGAAAAGAAAAAGGGGCCCCAGCTCATTCTCCCAAGGAGGGATTCTCATAGTCGTTTCCTTTCTCCCACACCTGGGTTCCCTCTCTTTCCTTCTACGACTTCGTACCAACTCCCAGACCCCAAGCCCCAAGGGACAGTGAGAGGAAAGGGGTCTGGAATCACAGTGGAGGTCTATTCCTCAAATTGGTAAAGTAAACAAAGTAAAATCATTAGATAAGGGCAATTCATGCTGAGTTAAACCAGTGTCACCACAAACCAGAATCTCAGCTGCAATGGGCAGTCTCGTGGAAGGAGAAGTCATTATGTGAGAATGAAGGCCTGTGGCAGGGGCGTGAAGATGGACGTGTGTGTCCTCTTCCACCACTCTGCGGTCTGACAGCAAGAGGGATGATCCCCAGCCCCAGCTAGTCCAGGATAAGCAGCAGGGTCCAAGGAGCAAGCAGTCCTGAACTGCAACACAGAACCCCAGGAACGTCTACAAAGGAGTATCTCTGTGTATATGTATTTATAGAATACGACCATATTATCACATACAATATATATTATATACACACGTACATATGGACCCATACATGTTAAGTGCACACACATACACACACACACACACAGAATGACAGAAAAGACTGGAATACACGCCATCGGTATAAACGTGCTTGGCACTGGGGACATTCTCTAAAGTATGTAACTTGGTCGAGCTCTCTGGGAAGGAGCGTGGACGCTCACACCAAACCTTCCCAGCAAATCCTAGCAAAGGGAAGGAGTGGGAGAGACACCTCGAGAAGGAGAACGGCATTGGGAAAGGGGGGAGGGACGTTCCTTCCCCACTTACCTCGGGGCCCCTGGCAAAAACTGATAGCCACAATTTGGTTTTCATAAGGCACAGTTCGATAGCAGGTGCTAGGAATTAAGACCACATTGCTGCCGGCCCTTTCTAGCGGCAACCTCCCCACATCTATCTAGCCAAAGGGACAGACTGCCTTGCGTGCACGAGTGCGCCAGAGACACGAGTTAACAGTTTGGTCCATTGCTTCAGCGTAACTGATGGCAACCTATAGGCTCAGCGGTGTCCGGGGTAGCTTAAGGAAGGATGACCAGCAGGCAGGAGGCTCGCGGGACAGTTACTGACCCTCCATGGCCAGGAGGCTGTGACTGGAGGGCACCATGCCCTCTCTCTCTGCGAACTCCAGGATTGCCTTGTAGCAGAAATAGTACTGCTCAGGGGTCTGGATGCTGAAGGCCCTCTGGGTCCTCATGCGGGACACTGTCTGGAACACATTAAGGGTGCCAAGCTCCTCCAGCTGTGCCAGGCAGATGTCCAGTGAACAGAAGGTACCTGAAGGAAGGAAAGAAGTGGTCATACCCGGTCCACCTCTCCTCTGTGCCTCCCTCTACCAAATGACCCAGGCAGGCTGGATGAATGAATTCAAAGGCAGGGTGCCTCCTGGCAGGAGGCCAGCTGGCCTTAGGCCTGAAGGGATTCGAGGAAGAGGTCACTTGGAGGTGTTGGGAGTCCAGAGAAATGAGAAGGCCTCTTGTCTCTCAGGACAGTATACGGGGGGAACAGGAACACTAGGTGGAAAGGTGACAGAGAGGAACCGCCCGCTCCAATCTTGGACAGAATGACAGTACTCCCACACCTGGGCCCTAATTTTCAGAGACTCCACAACTTTTCCACAGAGACCTAACACAAACCTACTCTTCCTGACTTTCTCCCCGAGGGACCTCTTGACTAGAAAGGCCAGCAATCCCTACAACGCACAGCCCCTTAAGGCAAAAGCTGCTAACTAGAGTGCGCAGCACAGGGTGCGGGTCTCCTCAGGGAGGGGGATGGGCAGGAAGCAACAGCCCGGCTGCACTCTCCGGGACACCCACGTGACAGTGATGGGGTCAGAAGATCCTCATGCCAATGGGATGTATAAAGTGTCAAATGCTAGGGACCTGGCCCGGGAAGTGGGTCCTGGCCAGCACGACTGGCATCAGGGATACCAAACGGACATAAGGAGGAATTTTCATGGCGATCCATCCACCCATGGATCAAATTCCCGCAAATGGGCAACTAAGAGCATTGTTATGCCCCCTCCCCCGTCTTTACTGCCTCTGGCGCCACTGCATCAGGTGCATTACCTGTCCTGCCAATGCCTGCGCTGCAGTGGACCACAATGGGCGGCTCGGGGCACTGCCCCTTGGAGCGTGCGCCCATGCTGCTGACAGCCAGCCTCTGCTGGCTCCGGACCACTCTCAGGAAGTCAATGAGAGAAGCTGCCGAGGAAGGGACACCATAATCTGGCCAGCTCAGAAACTGAAAGTGGGTCACCTGGCGTTTCTGCCGCTCCTTGAATGGGAAAAGAAGCGAAAGTTAACGAGGTTATTTCTGCTTGCCCCTGACTACCTTTGGCTTTTCTAGATTCTCAACCCACTAGTGTCCCCAGCACCAAGGTTCCTGCCCATCACCCTTAACTTTCTCCACAGTTGCTCCTCTACATACCCAAAAGAAAGGTTAAATGTCTGGAGAGGACAGAATTCTCTAGAGTGGAGGATCCAGATTACTTGTAAGTTTTATTCCTAAGTAACGCCACTGTTGTGTTGAGACAATATGGCTCTATTGGCTCTGAGCTGAATATCCTGATCCTGTTCCCAGAAAAATGCAAGTAACTTAGAAGCTGCCTGGACTCCTGCCTATTCCCTTTGGAGATTTTCTTTACAGTAAAGGTTCTCCTCCAGCTTAAAAAAAAAAAGTGAGAAAACAGAAACTGGGATTTACCTCTGTGTTGTGAATTTCTAGTGTGGTTTTCTTATAATGGTTCATGTTCTCCACGCCTAGATTGGTCACGGTGAGGAAGCCAAATCGGATCCGAGAGTCTCTTTCTAAAGGCCAGTACTGGCCACACTTTCTCCTGCCGCCCTCCTCAAAGCTGAAGACAACACAGAGCAAGGGTGAGCCCTCGGTCCTTCCTGTCCATGGCAGTAAGCCTGCTGTCCCCGGGACCCGCTGTACCCTGAGCAGCAATGTCCTCTCCCACACCACTTCTAACTGATATCTTTGCTGCTTGGCAGAAAAGGAAGAGCACCTTCATTCTAAACGGATGTAATGACAGCTAATTTTCTGCCTGTGCTCATTTAGCAGACATTTATTGAGAGCCTGCTACACCATTTGGCCCCTTTTCTGGTACTTCTTGGTACTCTTCACATATCTGGGATAAATACGGGTGGACCAAAAAAGCAGAGAAAATGTGGTGGGCCAGACTGAACCTGCCCTGTGTCTCAGCCACCGTTCATTCCCTTCCCCACTGCGGGCGCTGGGCTGAGAGGAGTGGGAAAGGCCTAGTTCCTGGGAGGCCAGCAAGAGGTTTGTGTAAAAGCCTACAATCCATCTCACTGTTCGTTAGTGGCTTCCAAGTGCTCCATGGTGGTACTTCTCCACCACCACCTCTCCAGATCAAAGGCCGTTGTGACAGTGCCACAAGAAAGGGAACCGAGCAAACATTTTCATTACCTTTCTTCTCCTCATCTGAAATAGGTATCATTATTATTGATAATGAGGATACTAATGAATTTGTATCCTAAGGTTTTGGCACATATGCAGACCAAAATTTCAAAAGCATTCCTTTCATCAAGAGCTTTCCTGCCTGACCTGGAATGTTCCATCTCTCTTGTTGCAGCTCTCTCACAGGTAGAAATACAAATGAGCAGAGAAACTATCACAAGGAGCAGGGAAGGGGAGAGCCGAGGGGAACTGGTAATCCAGAGGTCAGGAAGACCGCTGCCCCATGGAAGCGGGTAGCAGATTCAAAGTGAATTACCCCACGTTTCCCAGCACTTCCTTTAGTGGATAAGGTCAGGACCTCAGAATAGCTGTAACTGGCACAGCATCACCAGAGCCATCGATTCAAGTTTTTTCAAGTTAGATCTATCAATCTCTACCGCACCTTGGCTACGTTAATTCTGGGTCCACTAAGAAAAAGATCAAACATCTCCAACCCTTTGCCATGGTTTTTCTAATCCTCATTGTTCTAAGAACTGAGGTCTCCTCTGGAATCCCCCAAGCTTAGGGACAGGGTGGGGGCAGAGTGCGGTGGGAAGAAAGAGGGCTCACCGGGTGGTCATGACAATCACCAGGACTTTTTGCTCCCAAACCATGAGCCAGAAGTCACGATAGGTGTTCTCCAAAGGGCCTGGAACAAAAGAAGATGACAAGGAACATAACTCTGGGAAGCCCTTCTTTCCTCCTCAGGCATGTCTGGGTTTTCTCCCAACTGATAACTCCAAAGTCAAGATGCTGGCTCCCTGCCCTTCTTACTACATCCCTGCTATTCAGAGTGGTCCCTGAACCACTGGCACCACCCTTGGATGTGAGAGGGTTAGAAACGTGCAATCTGGGGCTCCTGGGTAGGTTACACATCCAATTCTTGGTTTCCGCTCAGGTCATGAGCTTGTGGCTTTGTGAGTTCGAACCTCACATTGGGCTCTGCACAGGCAGCATGGAGCCTGCTAGGGATTCTCTCTCTCCTTCTCTCTCTACCCTTTCTTTGCTCACACTATCTCTGTTTCTCTCAAATAAAACTAAAAAAAAAAAAAAAAAAAAAAAAAAGGAATGTGCAATCTGCATTAAAAATTTTTTTTTTTAATTTTTTTTTTTATTTCTGAGAGAGAGCACACAAGCAGGGGAGGGTCAAAGAGAAAGGGAGATACATAATCTGAAGCAGGCTCCAGGCTCTGAGCTAGCTGTCAGCACAGAGCCCAACGCGGGGCTCGAACTCATGAACTGTGAGATCATGACCTGAGCTGGACGATTAACCGACTAAGCCACCCAGGCGCCCCTCAATCTGCATTTTAACAAGATCCCAGTAGGTTATAGTTTGAGAAATAACTGCGATGCACCATCTCAAGAGCCTTACCATCAGGGATTCTGCTGGAACATCCAGACAGACGGTATCTACCGTGTACACACTGCTAGCTGCTTTCATCTCCCCTAAACTTATAATCAGCAGCAGCTTACTGAACCACTCCCCTTCCATGTCTCCTCAGACCCCACATGCCTGCAATCCAATCTCTTCCTTCAAAATTAGCTTTCTCTCTCTACTTTGCCATGTCTGTTACCAGTACTGGCATTTGTAAATCACTTGGTTTAAAAAAGTCAACTCTAGGGGCGCCTGGGTGGCTTAGTCGGTTAAGCGTCTGACTTTCGCTTAGGTCATGATTTCGTGATTCGTGGGTTCGAGCCCCACGTCGGGCTCTGTGCTGACTGCCAGCTCAGAGCCTGGAGCCTATTTCAGAGTCTGTATCTCCCTCTCTCTCTGACCCTCCCCTGCTCATGCTGTCTTTCTCTCTCTCCTAGAAATTAAAAAAAAAAAAAAAAAAGTCATCTCTGAAGTCAACTCTGACTTATCCATGTCCTTTATCTCCCAGAAGCAGCCCCCAAGTCCTAGAGATTTTCTGCCTTTGAATGGATTTGGGTTTTTTGGGGGGCGGGGTTGGGTTTTTATCCTTCTGTCCCCACCCTGCTCTCCCAATTTCACTGCCACACGGACCACATCATGTTTTGCCGGAGTTACTGTAATATCATTCTGGTTAACTTTTCTGAATAGGACTCTTTCTCTTTCAGTCTACTCTGGATTATCCTGCCAGTTGTATCTTTCCAAAAACTTCCTTCATCACCGTATAGACAGCTCTTGATGGCACAGCTGGATCAAAACAGCTTAACCATTTAATTCACATGGTCTTACATCAGTCGTTTTACTTTGTGAGAATTAAACATGTCTCGGCAAACATGGTGCTGAGGGTAAGAGCCACGTTACCAGATTCTCTTTTTATTTTTATTTATTTATTTATTTTTAATTGTTTTTAACATTTATTTATTATTGAGAGACAGAGAGACAGAGCACGAATGGGGTAGGAGCAGAGAGAGGAGGAGACACAGAATCTGAGGCAGGTTCCAGGCTCTGAGCTGTCAGCACAGAGCCGGATGTGGGGCCCGAACCCGCAAACTGCGAGATCATGACCTGAGCCAAAGTTGGTCGCTCAACCGAGCCACCCAGGCATCCCCCAGGTTCTCTTTCTATAGTTAGAACCTTCATAGGGCTGGGCACTCAGGGGAAACTTGGAAGATACTTGTGGGCCACCAGCTGCCTTTTAATCAAGGAGCTGGTCACTCGGGATAATTCAACATGTGAGCCAACATCACCTAACCTCTTTGGGCTTCACTTTCCCAGTGCTTTTTCCCTCCTCTGCTTACAGGGAAGAAGGGCAGTGTGTCAAGGGCTGATTTTGTCCTGGTTTGTACTGGTTTCACTACCATTTTTGCTAGAGCCTTTTAGCAGCATTAATATTTTATGATACTAGAATTCCCTCCTGGCAGAAGTGGACACTGCCAAAAGCCTATCAGGTCTTGGAAACAACCTAAATGTCTACCAAGAGAGGATTAGTTAAATCCTATCCCCGATGTAAGCAGTCCATAAAGGTGATTTTGTAAGATCTGTGACTTTTGCTATGAAAAGGTATTCACAAGATACCATCAGATGAAAAAAAGAGGTAATGTATAGAAAGAGCCCATTTTGTCAGCTATGTCGTACATCTGTATCTATTTGATTTCCAAACACAGAAGATACTTTGGAAGGAGGTGCTGCAAAACGTTAACATTATCTCTGATTGAGATATCATATCTATGATTGAATTTCATCCCGTCTTCCGAATTTTCTACAAAGCACTTCCATTAGCATAGTACGCATGTCAAGGAGACACTAAGAACTCCCTTTCCCCATGTCTGATGCCTGGCCTCGTCCACATCCTACTATCCCACACCACAGCAGCACTCGTAGCCTTTATCTTCCACATTCACATCACTGGCAAAAATGGTGTTGCCAATCAGAGCACCTACAACCCAGATGCCACTCAGACTCGTGCTTGGCAAAGAAGGGTCGGAATTTCCTCCAAGGCATCAGAGAAATTTAGAAGGGAAACCTGCACTTTCCACATCAGACTCTTTTTACCAGTGAACTTTTTTGAAGAACTCAAGTCAGTGCTTTATGCGGACATGGGTGAAACGATCCTCTGACTTGGCTTGCAAGGACTTTTGACTCAAACAGACATATGTTTGAATCCAGGATCTGCCACTTACTATGTGTATGATCCAACTATCACCTAACCTCTTTGGGCTGCAATTTGTTCTTGGGTTAATAAATATTCCTTACAGAGTCTCTGTAATAAATAGATGAAGATTAGATACCTAATATATAATAGATAACTCTCAACAGATGACAGATATTATTTGTAGAAATACTTTAATTAATAAAAATCAGAGGGGCACCTGGGTGGCTCAGCTGATTAAGCGTCTGACTTTGGCTCAGGTCATGATCTCACGGTTCCTGAGTTCAAGCGCCACATCAGGCTCTCTGCTGTCAGCACAGAGCCTGCTTCAGACCCTCTGTTCCCTTCTCTCTCTGCCCCTCCCCAACTTGCATGCATTCCCCCCCTTTCAATAATAAATACATTAAAATAAAATAAATAAAATTTTATAATCAGAATACTGAATATAGCCAAGGAAGTTAGCCAGGCAAATCAAATCAGCCTTCTCCACAACACAAGACCCCATTTTCCAGTCCTAAAAGAGTGCTGATTCTGTCCAAAGGTGATCTGTGCTTGACGCAAAAAATCTCTCATACTCTTGAAGGAGTTTCTTCTGGATGAGTCCTTCAAAGCCACCCTAAAGGATCTGATCCCTGCATCATTTGCAACCCAGTGGCTTTGCCTTATAAACCCAAGAGGGAAGCATTCTGAGGCGCCCTAGAGCCAATCCTCACCCTCCATAAGCTCAACCATGCGAAGGCCAGCCTCCTCAACAAAGCACCCCTGCCGCTGCCTCCTCCTTCTTCGCTGTCTGGCAGAGCACATCATATCCTGTATGCCAAAAATCTTTCCTGACAATTTTCATTTCTTCTTAGGGTCTTAAAAGGACTCCTTTTGGAGGGAGTAGTCCCTCCTAGGGGGAAAATATAAACCTGCGACCATCAGACCAATTAACAATGTACCAAGAATCCATTTTTTTCTCCCTCACTTATTTTGAAAAATTTGAAACCAATGAGAAGTTGGAAGAATACTACAATGTACTCACATATTCTTCAGCTAGAAAGCTATCATTTTTAGCTATCGTTATAAAACGTTTGTTTATATATACATACACAAGAATATTTTTTTATAGAACTATTTAAAAGTTAGTTCTGGACCTTATGACATTTTATTCCTAAATACTTAGGCACATATTTAGAAGAACAAAGACATTCTCTTATAGAAGGACACCGTTATCACACTGAAGCAATTAAACATTGATACAATACTGTTACCAAATACGCACTCTCCAATTGTCCCAAGTTTGTCCTTAAGAGATTTTTCCTCTAAACTGAGGTTCCGATCATGGGAACATGCTTTCGATTATCATAGCTCTTTAGTCCCTTTAACCTAGAGCAGTTTCCTGCCTTTATTTTTCACGGCATTAACTTTGCAGGGTCCGAGCCAGTTTTCTTCTAGTATGTACCACCATCTGGATTTTGTCTTGTTTATTTTTTATGATCAGATTCAGACTTAAAAACTGGCCACAAACAATACAAGTTACATTGTATGGTTCTCACTGTATCACAACAGAGGCGTAATATCTGGTACTGGTGATGTTAAGTATGATCACTTGGTTAAAGGGGTAAGTGCCAGATCTTTTGCTGGCCATGTTCAGCAAAGGTCAAAGGGCCTATAGCCCATAGGGTGGCCTGTTATGTCCTCCTGCGTTCTGATCTCTTCCCACCCTCTTTGAAGGCAACCTGGTATTCTCCTTGAGATGGCAGAGGCCAGGTCAGGTGTAGTACTGGGGCCTAGAGTTTATAGAAACTCTATCTGAAATCTTCCCACCAGAGTCTAGTGCTTCACGATCAGTGGAGTATAGTACAGTCAAACTAGTATAGACTATCCATTCAGAAGACTGCTGGGTGCTTTCTGATGGCACAGGGACCAGCAAACACCCTTTCACAGACTGAACTCAATGTCTAAGAAGTCCCACTGCTGTTTCTGGCCTCCTACTGGACATAAAGAGCATCTCACTGGCCGCTGAGTTCTGGTGTCCCGTTCTCCTCCCATCGTTGGCAATACATAATCCAAAAACTTGTGGTAGTGCTGTGTTCCAACCTCCAGTTTATCTCCACAGCGTGTTTTCAAGCAGATCTGGTACAGAAACTCTATTCCTCTCCTCTGCCTTCCTGAATAATACCCAGTCTTTATGAAAGGCCAGGATCTAGTGGCCACAACATCACCTCAAATTACCATTTCCTTTCAAAACCGTGCAATCAGGGGCGCCTGGGTGGCTCAGTCGGTTAAGCTTCCAACTTTGGCTCAGGTCATGATCTCACAGTTTGTGGGTTCGAGCCCCACATTGGGCTCTGTGCTGATAGCTGGCTCAGAGCCTGGAAACTGCTTTGGATTCTGTGTCTCCCTCTCTCCCTGACCCTCCTCTGCTCACGCTGTCTCTTTTTCTCTCTCTCACAGAAATAAATAAGACATTAAAAAAATTTTTAAAAACAAGAAAAAAACCCCATGCAATCATCTGGTGCAAGAAATCACAGGCAGATGACAAAAGAACAACTTGTGAGGGCAGACTAACTTACCTTGTGTACCAATGTAAGCATTCTTCTGCTTGTAGCCATCCATGAAACTGGCATTGATATAATCTGTCTAATGATAAAAAGGAAATATCATTGCAGCTGAGTGGAATACACCATTTGGCTGGGAAAATTATGTACTAGGTAAATAAATCCCAAGGTATAGATATTCTCTTCTTGTCAGGCAGAAAGTGAGAAGCAAAAGGGTCAGTTCAAAACTTTACTTCTACAGATATTACTGGAACAAATGGATATCCAGGTGAAGGGGGGAAAAAAAATCAAGTTGGCTCATTCCTCACACTCTACACAAAAACTAACTCAAAACAAATCACAGACCTAACGTAAAAGCCAAAATGATAAAACTCTTAGAAGAAAATATAGGGTTAAATCTTTGTGACCTTGGGTTAGGCAAAACCTTCTTAGCTATGACCCCAAAAGTACAAGCAACAAAAGAAAAAACAGATACTTTGAACTGCATTAAAATTCAAAACTTTTGTGCTTCAAGGGACACCATCAAGAAAGTGAAAAAGGGGCAGCTGGTGGCTTAGTTGGTTGAGTGTCTGACTCTCGGTTTCAGCTTGGGTCATGATCTAGCAGCTTAAGGGTTTGAGCCCCTTGTCGGGCTCTGCACTGACAGTGGGGAGCCTGTTTGGGATTCTCTCTCTCTGCCCCTCCCTTGCTGTGCTCACTCCCTCTCTCTCTCTCTCTCTCTCTCAAGATAAATAAATAAACTTAAGAAAAAAAAGAAAGTAAAAAATCCTCACAGAATGCACATATTTGATACGGGATTGTATCTAAAATATATAGAGTTTTCACAACTCAGTATTAAAAAGACAATTCAAATTTATTTCTTTTTAATTTTTAAAAACTGTTTATTTATTTTTGAGAGAGAGAGCAAGAGAGGGAGACACAGAATTCGAAGTAGGCTCCAGACTCTGAGCTGTCAGCACAGAGCACGACACAGGGCTCAAACTCGCAAACTGTGAAATCATGATCTGAGCCAAAGTCGGACACTGAACTGACTGAGCCACTCAGGTACCATGACAACCCAATTTTAAAATGGGCAAAGAGGGGCGCCTGAGTGGCTTAGTCGGTTAAGCGTCTGACTTTCGCTCAGGTCATGATCTCGCGGTTCGTGGGTTCGAGCCCCACGTCGGGCTCTGTGCTGACTGCCAGCTCAGAGCCTGGAGCCTATTTCAGAGTCTGTATCTCCCTCTCTCTCTGACCCTCCCCTGCTCATGCTGTCTCTCTCTCTCTCTCCTAGAAATAAATAAAAATTAAAAAAAATAAAAATAAAAAGAAATAAATAAAATGGGCAAAGGATCAGAATAGCTATTTATTCTCTGAAATTTGCGGAATCAAACACTTAAAAAAAAAAAAAAAAGAATAGCTATTTATTTAAAGAAGATACACAAATGGCAATAAGCACAAGAAAAAATGCTTGACATTATTAGCCATCAGGGAAATGCAAATCAAAACCATAGAAAGTGGGGTGCCTGGGTGGCTCAGTAGTTAAGCATCACTCTTGATCTCAGCTCAGGTCTTGATCTCAGGGTCATGAGTTCAAGCCCCACACTGGGCTCCACACTGGGTGTGGAGCCTACTTAAAAATAAAAACAAAAACAAAACACATGAGATACCACTTCATACCCATTAGAACGGCTACAGGTACAAGTGGATAATAACAAATGTAAGCAAAGATGTGGAAAAACCAGAACCCTCACATACCCCTAGTGCAAATGTAAAAGGGTGCAGTCATGTTGGAAGGAAGACAGTATGGTGGTTCTTCCACAGTTTAAACACAGAGTTACCATATGACCCAGCAATTCCACTCCTGAGGGAGATGAAAACCTGTGTCCACAGAGAAACTTACACAAAAATATTCACAACAGCATTATTGGTAATAGCCAAAAATCGTATTCACTTTGTGAATGGATAAATAAAAGTGGGATATCCATGCAATGGCATATTATTTAGCAGTAAAATGGGGTGAAATACATGCTATGACATGGATGAATCTTGAAAACCTGCTGAGTGAAAGAGGCCAGACACAAAAGGCCACGTATTGTAAGATTCCATTTATATGAAATGTCCAAAATACACAAATCTCTAGGGACAGAAAGTATACGAGTTAGGGGAAAATAGGGTGTGACTGTGAAGGGTATGGGGTTTCTTTTTCAGGTGATAAAAATGTTCTAACGTTGATTGAGGTGGTTGCTCAACTCTGTGAATGTATGAAAAACCACTGAATTACACACTTTAAATGGGTCCACTGTATGGTATGTGAATTACACCTCAGTAAAGCTGTTATTACCGAAAAAGGAATCCGTTAAGATTTGTAGCACTGGTTCAACACCAAAAGGGAGGCAAGCCAAGCCACGTGAGCAGGAGCACCCTGTCTGTGCGGCCACACACGGAAGGCAAAGCGTGACTGGAGAAGGAAGAAAGCTATACCTCATTTCTAGGGCCATCAACAGCATGGGCCAAACACCCAGGCTCCTTTACTACCTGAATTAACACAAAGCAACAGCCAGACAAATTCAGAGGCGTCTCAATGAACAACTCTTGACTCATTCTCTTCTGGGGGCCTTCTCTCCTCTCCCAGTGTGCTCAGTATCTTACTTACTTCAACATCATTAGCTATTAGGGAGATTAAATAGGATTTAGTCTTTATTACTTTTATTATAACTTCTCACAAGATCTCTGCCAACGTCTTTTCATCTAAGCTGATAAAAGAGAAACATAGATGCAGCTACAGTGTCAAGTTTTGGTGTAACTAGTTGAGGGTATCTAGCAGTTACGATGAATAGCAGAGGGTGTGGAGGGGTATAGGAGGACAAGAGAAAAAAAGTTCCAATGTTAAACTAGAAAAAGCTGAGACTCCACTCTGCTCTGGAGAGGTCGGAGTGACTTGCTAATCCATAACTTGTTCTCCACTGGGTTCCACCACTTGGAAGGAAAACAGTCTGAATTGTCAGTATCCACAGACACCCTGAGAAGACATCTCCATCTTATGGTCATTGCTTGGGTACGTGTCAGTTAGGAGGTCAGTCTACCACCTTATCCTGTCATGAATTATTTAGTCAAGAGTTTCCTGCTTTCTCCTTCCAGAGCAGTTGATTTTGACCTCATACTACTAGTGTTCTACTCTGACTGAGACATCTTCACTGAGCTAAGGGACCAGCAGCAGCAGACCAAGCCAGCTAAATGCCTCACTTACTCCCAACCAGACTGCTCAATGCAGGGCCCACCGTAGTTAGTCAAAGCTATCCTCTGCCCAGCCTGGCACATTCGAGTGGTACATCCTGCAGGACCCAGCGAGAAGGCACAGAAAGTACAAAGGATTTACCTGGTACATGCCAATCAACGCTATTATATAAGTAGCATATGACATATAATATTATATATGTATATGTATGTATAAGATATATATATACACACATATGTATACACACACATATATATGGCTATTACTTTTGGAACTACCTTCATGCTTTGAAAAGAAATATCACCTCTTAAAAGGTGATATTCTTTTTTTTAACATTTATTATTATTATTTTTTAATGTTTTATTTATTTCTGAGAGAGAGAGAGAGACAGTGTGAGCAGGGGAGGGTCAGAGAGAGAGGGAGACACAGAATCTAAAGCAGGCTCCAGGCTCTGAGCTAGCTGTCAGCACAGAGCACGACACGGGGCTCGAACCCACGAACCATGAGATCATGATCTGAGCCGAAGTCAGAGGCTTAACCGACCAAGCCACCCAGGTGCCTCACTATTTCTTTATATAACTAAGGATACAGGCTTTCAGTAAGTATTCTTGTCTCTGAGAGCACTAGGAAATAAAATCAGTAATATCAGAAGAATCATCAGACATTAAAACTGATGGGGTGCCTGGGTGGCTCAGTCAGTTAAGCGTCAGGTCAGGTCATGATCTCACACTCGTGAGTTTGAGAGCCCTCTATCGGGCTCTGGGCTGACAGCTCAGAGTCTGGAGCCTGTTTTGGATTCTGTGTCTCCCTCTCTCTCTCTCTCTCTCTGCCCCTCTCCTGCTCATGCTCTGTCTCTCAAAAACAAATTAAGCATTGTAAAAAGAGGACTTAAAAAAGAATAAGTGAATGATTATGCCACAGAGAATGCACAAGATACAGGATAAATGAAAAGAAAAACCTGTGTTAATGTTATGCTAATAGACTTTTCTGGCTTAGGATAAACTTTTCAGTGACAATACCTAAAAATTATGTGCTCTGGAAAACTGGCTCAGGAAGTAGCTCAAATGAGGACAAAGATACTGATGTTAAAGGTCTATGTGAAGAGTTTCACTAAATATTTATATTAGTATATTCTATGTGTGATTTTTAATATGAACAGATATGGTCAAATTAATACATTAGATAATATAATCAATTGACCACTTCAACTCTATCCCTAGATATTTTGTTGTCCAAATAACTAGGGATATTAGTTGTCCAAAATTATTTTCATATCTTCTAGATGGAAAAGTCCCTTACAGTTAGAGTTGCCTTGTATTGATACATATACACTCACTAACATGGCAGGCAATGGGACTATCATTTTACAACAAATGAGTAAAGGAGAAATCACTGAACATTTATCAAGCACCTACAATATACCAGACCTGGTCCATTTAATTTCTGCTTAGTACTGTGAGATGGGCTGATAAGGTAACAGACTAGTATATAGCAAAGTTAAAACCCCGTCTGATCTCTCTGGCTTAGAGTCTATGTTCTTTCTGCTACGGTATTAGTGAGCTTCACTTTGAAAAGTCTCCCTCAGTGCTCCTGAAAGACAGTATTTATGTGACTACCTGAGTGTGGCCACTTCGTTTTGTCAACTTCACTCTCGTTTGGTCCAGACAGGGCACATCCCCATAGCGGTTCTTCTCTAGGTTTCCCGGAGACCTGCAGAAAATGAAACGGACAAACTAAAACAAAGACAGAGAAAAGGTGGAAGCAGTGTGTATGTGTGCATACGAAGTGTGGCAGTGCAAAGGTGAGTATTGGTCACTGCTGGCGGTAGAGACCTGAATCTTTTCATTGCCTTGTCTATCCATAGTCCATATCATTCAACATTTTTTATGATATGTACGTATTCCTGTGGAAATAAAGATATTTCCATTGGAAAGAGAAAAGGAGAGGGAAATAAGGGTACAGTACCAAGAAAAATCCAGCTGCTAATAAACCTAAGTCCAGTTTAATATGGTAGGTTGACAATATATGTTTGACTCCACTTCATCTAGTAGCCTCACTAAAAATGACAATAAAGGCACTAATTGGTACAAATCCCAAAAGTGACGTCAGAGACATCAGCAGACAAAGAGTGAAATCCATTCTGGCAGAGAGAAAATAGATGGTAACATTTTTGCTGACTTTGGCCACATGCAGAAAACTAGGACCCATAGAGGTATCTAGAGAGGCACAACGGCTCACTCTCACACCTCCCACACCTTGGAAGGCAGTGTGAGGCATAGGGCTAAAAATAGAGGAATAAATGAAAATCTGAATGACAGACAGTGAGAATCCCCTGCCCTCTTCTCGCTGTCCTATCCCGTCTTACACTTATATCCGATCTTGGACCCCACCAGGCAAGAGAGTGGAGAATTCCTCTCTGGAGAAAGTGAATACCCGCACATGAAAGAATTTTGTCATTTGGAGTACACCAACAACAAGCTAGCTGATCACTTAAACTTGAAGATCACCCATGCCAATAGCATTTCCAAGCAGCATTTAAGGACTCTACTCGTAAGTAGAGCACTAATAGCCAAAAACTTCCAGGTAATTACAGAAAACCCAACACAAAAAAAGAGACCAATCAAACACATGGCAGGAAAAAAGCACAAAAGAGAGTCAGTAAGAGCAAATAAGTTCTAAAAAGCTATAGTTAACACCCTCAGAGAGAAAAAGGTACTATATATATGAAATAAGATCAGGGTGCTCTGAGAGAAGAACAGAGAAGAAAAGCTCTTGGAGAAAGTTGAAGAGTTTTCCAGAATAAAACAAAAATTCAAAGTGATGAAAAAAATGAGAAAATTTTAAGCAAATAAGACAATCATTCTAGGGCAGGAGTCAGCAAACTCTGGCCTGGCCAACCTGTTTTTGTAAATAGAAGTTTTATTGGAACACGAGGCCTGTCAGTTTATTAATGGCAGAGCTGATTATACTTTCAACAAAGATTATAAAGGCCCACAAGCCTAAAATATTTACTATTTTGCCTTTCCAGAAAAAGTTTGTCAATCTCTGCTCTGGGAGATCTACCCAGGCTGCTAGAAATATTCCAGAAAAAAAGAACTGCTATAATACAAGGAAAGAAAGAATGAAAAAGAGCTAATGTAAAAAAAAAAAGTCCTACAACTAAAGAACACAAACCTTCAGGGGAAAGAACCTATCAAGCACCCAACAAAATGAATGGACAAAAAAAAAAAAAAAAAAAAAAAAGGACCCACATCAAGCAAGGTATATTGGTGTGAAATTTTTAAATGGGAAGATAGAGATGATCTAAAACTGTCCAAAAAGACTTGAGAAGGCTTAAGGATAACATCAGATGATTTAGGAACATGGCTACTAAATACAAAGGGATTGTTTAAAAAATTCTGTGGCATAATTATTTCCAACCTAGAATTCTATGCTCTGACAAAATTTAAGAAAGAAAATGGGGGGACCCATTAACTAAGAAACAATAAAGGAAAATGAGGAGAGAAATCAGGAAAAGGCTGAGGAGCAAGTCCAGACAACAACAACCTCAGTTTAGACTAGAGCAAAAAAACCCCCAAAATTCTGGAAGTGAGGAATCCAGGGGAAGAAAACAAACAATTCATTATGTCATATATTTGACCACTTGGAAAATACTAAGAATAGTATAAAATAAATTTAATTAAGCATGGGAAAAAAATAAGGCTAGGAACATGGAAAACTAAAAACAAATTTAAAGATCAAGTAATTAACTCCAGAAGAAACAAAAAATTGAATTGATAAAATTTAATATATTTGATTTCCTAGAAGCCCATTTAGTTCTGCAGTAGAAAAGATTACATAGTCATAATAATGTGAACAGTAACTACTGACTCAATAAAAAATGTAACATAATTATATTGGAAAAACAGTCAAAAGGGAATTGGAGAAGGAGTATAAGAGCCAAAGCTTACCTACCACAGAAATCAATAAAGAGCATTATAAGGACTTTATTTAGAATCACAGAAGAAATACCAGAAGAAACAACTATAACTGTTGAAAATGGACACCTAAGGGCACCTGTGGGGCTCCATCAGTTAAGCATCCTTCTTCATTTTTGCTCAGGTCATGATCTCAGGGTCCTGGGATCAATCCCCCACTGGGCTCCACGCTTAGCTTAGAGAATATTAGCTTAACATTCTCTCTCTCCCTCTCTCTCTGCCCCTACCCCACTTGTGCTTATTCTAAATAAAATTAAAAAAAAAAAAAAGAAAGAAAGAAAACTAAATAGAAACCTAGTGGAACCAAGGGTAAGGATGGAGATTGCCATTAATTTCGTCATTCCTTTTCTTTGGTACTATCTGGGTTTTTTTTTTTAATGTATGTATGTATGTATGTGGTATATGTATTAAAAACAAAAAATTACTAAAATATAAACATTAATATAAAATAATACTCTATTTTATCCCTAGGCACTAATATATATGTAACAGAATAAGCAAAACAGACTGGAGGAAACATACCATATTCATACTAGTTGAGACTGAGGGTGAAGATTAGAAGGGATTTATAATGAATTCTTTCTTTTATATAACGAAAGATGGAGCAAATATGCCAAAATATTGTAAATTGTCAGTATCAATTCTGGTAATAGGAACATAGTTGTTTATCATGTTATATTCTGTACTTTTCTATATTTAAAAAAATTCTCTCTTCCCACACAAATAAGCCCAGCTGATATTTTACAAAGCTCTAAGGACAATTCAATGGAGGAAGAATTTTTCAGCAAATGTGCTGGAGCAATTGGATATCCAGAGGCTTGTAGGCGCGCGCACACACACACACAAAATCAACATCAACCTAAACCTTACATCTTAGATAATGGATCGCAGAATTAAATAAATGTGGGGGCACCTGGGTGGCTCAGTCGGTTAAGCGTCCAACTTTGGCTCAGGTCATGATCTCACGGTTCGTGGGTTTGAGCCCTGCGTTGGGCTCTGTGCTGACAGCTAGCTCAGAGCCTGGACCCTGCTTCAGATTCTGTGTCTCCCTCTCTCTCTGACCGCCCCCTGCTCATACTGTCTCTCTCTCTCTCAGAAATAAATTTAAAAATTTTTAAATAAATTAAGGGGCGCCTGGGTGGCTTAGTCGGTTAAGCGTCCGACTTTCACTCAGGTCATGATCTCGTGGTTCGTGGGTTCGAGCCCCGTGTCAGGCTCGGTGCTGACTGCCAGCCCAGAGCCTGGAGCCTGTTTCAGTCTGTGACTCCCTCTCTCTCTGACCATCCCCTGCTCACGCTGTCTCTCTCTCTGTCTCCTAGAAATAAATAAAACATTTAAAAAAAATTTTTTTAAATAAATGTGAAACATGATACTATAAAACTTTTAGGTAAAAAAGAGAGAAAATCTTTGGAAGCTAGGGTTAGATGTTCTTGGATTTGACATCAAAAGGAAAAACTGATTAAAGGACTTCATCAAAATAAAACCTTTTGCTTCACAAGGGACCCTTGTTAAGAGGATGAAAAGATCAGCTACAGGCTAGAAGAAAATACTCATAAGCCAGTATCCAACGAAGAACCTATATCTAGAAAATGTTTTTAAAAATTCTCAAATCTCAACACTTTTTTTAAAAATATCCAAACAGAAAGTGGGCAAAGGCATATTTTTACAAAAAGGATATACAGATGGTACATAAGCACATGAAGAGATGTTCAATATCATTAACTATTAGAGAAATGTAAATTATACCCACAATGGGATCTCATTACACACCAATCAGGACAGCTAAAATAAAAAATAGTGGCAACATCAAATCCTGGGGAGGATGCAAAGAAAATGGATCATTAGTTCATTGCTGGGGGGCGGGGGGGGAGGTATGCAGAATGGTACGACCACTCTGGAAAAGAGCTGGGCGGTTTCTCATAAAACTGAACATCCAATTACCATGCGACCTGGCCATCACACTCATGGATATTTATCCCAGAGAAATGCAAGCTTATGTTCACAAAACCTAGGCACAAACATTCATAGTAGCTTTACATGTAATAGCCAGAAACCCTACACAACCTAGTTGTCCTTTTACAGGTGAATGATTAAACAAACGATTCATCCTATGCAACACTACCTAGCAATAATAATAAGAAATTTGTGTGAATCTTTAAGGAATTATACTGAGAGGAAAAAGCCAATCCTAAAAGGTTCCATATAGTATGATTCCATTTATTTTTTTAATATTTACTTATTTTTGAGAAAGAGAGACAAGAGTGTGAATGAGGGATGGGCAGAGAGAGAGGAAGACAAAGAATCTGAAATAGGCTCCAGGCTCTGAGCTGTTGGCACAGACCCTGACACGGGGCTTGAACTCATGAACTGCGAGATCATGACCTGAGCTGAAGCCGATGCCTAACTAACTGAGCCACCCAGGCGTCCTGATATGATTCCATTTATATAATAACATTCTTGAAATGACAAGATTAAAATAATGGAGACCACATGAGTTGTTGCAGGGGTGAGGGATGGGGAAGGGTGGGACCAGGGAATGTGGTGATATAATTCTTCTGTATCTGACTGTAGTGATGGATACACAAAACAACATGTGGATTAAAGACTGCATAGAACTAAATACACACACACACACACAAACATACTCTAAAACTGGAGACATCTGAACAGACTGGTGTATAATATCAATGTCAATATCCTGGTTGTGATATCATATTATACTTTTAGAAGATGTTATCATGGAAAACTGTGGAAAGGGTACATGTAATATCTCTGTTATTTTTACAACTTTATATTAATCTACAATTATAATAAAATGATAAATTTTTAAATTTATTTTTTATTTTTTTGAAAGATGTGGAAGAGTTACAACATTAAAAAATTTTTTTAGTAAAACATAAACATAAAAAACATAAAAACATAAAAAAGTAAGTAAAACACTTACTTTTGAGAAGGAGAGAGACAGCATGAGCAGGGGACAGACAGAGAGAGAAGGAGACACAGAATCTGAAGACAGGCTCCAAGCTCTGAGCTAGCTGTCAGCACAGAACTCGACATGGGGCTTGAACTCACAAACCGTGAGATCATGACCTGAGCCGAAGTTGGATGCTTAACCAACTGAGCCACCCAGGCACCCCAAAAAATGATAAATTTTTTAATGTTTATTTATTTTTGAGAAAGAGAGAGAGAGAGAGAGAATGCAAGCCAGTGGAGGAGGGACAGAAAGGGAGACACAGAATCTGAAGCAGGTTCCAGGCTCTGAGCTGCCAGCACAGAGCCCAATGTGGGGCTCGAACCCATGAACCATGAGATCATGACCTGAGCCAAGACCAGACACTCAACTGACTGAGTCACCCAGGTGCCCCTAAAATTTTTTAAAAACATCCTTTGAAAAAATGGTGTAGGGGAGAAGAAAAAAGAGAAAGAAGGTCTTGGTCCATGGCATTCTGGACCATAAGTACTCTGATATCTACTTCATAATCCAGAATTCCAAGGGAGACACAGCTTGTTCTCTAGAAGTAGTTTTACTGGAACTTGGTATAAGACAGAGACCCGGAGCTGATGAGGATTCTGGGTTCTAGCTCTTGACGTGGGCAGCTCATTCATTCAATGCAGTCAAACCTAGGAAGTCCTTCCACAGGGCTGGGAAGTGTTCTCTGACGATAACATGATAGCTGGTTTGGGTGATGCCAAGAGGACAATCAAACTTGCTTTTTATATTGGGTGGGGGGGGACCACGGTAGAAATGACATTTCAAGGACTTCACGGCAGAAGTACCCAGGACAAGTATGCATGCTCCTGGAGCAGCCCAGTACTTGTCTCTGCTCCATAATACTTCCTTGATTCAAAACTACAGGGGGAGGGGGTGCCTGGGTGGCTTAGTGGGTTAAGCGGTGACTTCAGCTCAGGTCATGATCTCACAGTTCATGGGTTCAAGTCCTGCGTCGGGCTCTGTGCTGACAGCTTAGAGCCTGGAGCCTGCTTCAGATTCTGTGTTTCCCTCTCTCTGCCCCTTCCCCATTCATGCTCTATCTCTCAACAATAAATAAATGTTTAAAAAACCTTTTTTTTTTAAACTACAGGGGAAACACTGGTTGGGAGAAAGACTGGATGCATACAGAGACTGTAAGCTGGTAAGAAAGAAACAGCTGTGTGGGAGAAAATACTCTCTCCTCTTGAAAACTACGCTGCTTTCTTGTTTTTTCTCTTACTTCCTTTTGCATTCTTATTCTGCTTCTTGACTTCTCAGTTGCTTCTTCTTCTTACTTATCTGCTTCCTAACTCATTCTTTTCCCTCTTTCGTTTTGCTTAAAGGCTCTCTCCCTGAATCTTTATAGCACACTGACTAAGCTGGACAGGAATTACAAGGGGGAAGAGGTATTCACAGAATCATCGATTCCAAAATGTAAGCTACACAGGTAGGTAGATATCAGAGACTAACATCACCTATTACACAGAGGGAAACTGGGGTGCAGGGAGGGGAGATAACTTGCATAGATCACAGGGGGGACTTGTGGCTATGCTGGACCTTGAGCCCGGGACAGTTTCCCTAATTTTCAACAGGGCTTGACTTGGAGACACAGAAATTTCTGCTGCAGCCAATGAAAACACGCTAACATGTATGAAGGCAGCGGTAAAGAGACATGATCTATGCCCTATGGCCAACAATACCTACTGAATAATTATGAACCAGTTATAAATTAGCCAGGTAGTTCTGTAGTCGGATTTGAAGAGAAGGAAAATCCCACAGAGTTTAAATGCCTAAGAGTTAATTCTTTTCTGTTGCTGGCTGTGAATTATTTTAAGTGTTCCAGTACCCCTCCTCAGAAAGCAAAGTGGCTGTGTGCGTGTGCGTTTATTTATTTATTTTTTTAGAAAGTAATGTTATAGGGGCGCCTGGGTGGCTTAGTCGGTTAAGCGTCCGACTTTCGCTTAGGTCATGATCTCGCGGTTCGTGGGTTCGAGCCCCGCATCGGGCTCTGTGCTGACTGCCAGCTCAGAGCCTGGAGCCTGTTTCAGTCTGTGACTCCCTCTCTCTGACTCTCCCCTGCTCACGCTGTCTCTCTCTCTCTCTCCCAGAAATAAATAAAAAAATATAAAAAAAAAAAAAAAAAAAGAAAGTAATGTTATATATTATAAATGCTCTAGGGAGAAACTGCCCAAATAGAGAGCCCACATTTTTGAGCCAACATTTTTGTTTCTTCTTAAAAACACTTGCATTTCAGAAAAAGATTTTGAAATGTGTTCATCGTTACTTGGCTCCCCTATCGGTACTAAAGACCCAGAGATTTCAAAGTATAGGATATTGGCAACAAGCACCAAAGCAGGAGATGCCTCTTTCTGGATGAGAAAATCATCATCTATGTGAGAGTCATGCTCCTTAACACAAGGAATAGCCTCCATTACAGAAATGAGATGCTGAAGAGCTGTTGCCAGCACGTGCCAGAGGAACATGGGTAGCCGACTGCCGGCCCAGACCCCTCCTACTTACATCGAGCAGTGGAAAGTGCCAACAGGGTTCTCCCGGCGGATGTCTTCGTACTCCTCGTATATCCCCCGTTTTTGTCGGGTGCTAACATAGTCCATCAACTCTTGGATGGTCATGGCGTGGGGACCCGGAACGTGTACCGAGTCCCAGTCTAAGGCAGGAGGGAGGGAGAACAGGATGATCTCATCGAAGGGATCTGGGTGGCCGTTCATCTGGGGTAGGAACTGGAAATTCCAAGTGGTGAGGTCAATTTTGACGTACCCACCCAGGTTTTCTGGAAGGCACTCCCTGGGCAGGTGCTGGGTGACCTCAGCTGTCTTTAATATCTGAATCTGGAAGGCCAGAAAGAACCATGTGAGTACACAGAGGAAAAAAAGACAGAGAAATTGAAGATAAAGAACAAATATGTTTATATTAGGTTTGAAGAAGGGGATGAGATTTGCTTGAAGTACGTGGTACGCTTGTGTAAGAGGTAGGCTGCAGTTCATCTGCCTGGGATGAAAGTCCTTTTCCCAAGTGTCTGACTTCCCAGAATGTATATCAAGTTCATTCCTGGAATTAGGAGCCCTTTTATATATCTTGAAAGATCGGTACCATGAACAAAGTCTTTTATACAATTAACAAGGCTTCGCAGTGCCGTCTCATGCAGGTATTTGCCTTTTTGAGTACTAAGAATGCACAGGTAGTGATTTTTTTGGTCAACCCCATACTAAAGCAACTCTAAGCCTGGTGCTTTACTCACAGCTCAGTATGGATGTTCTCAAAGATAGCTTTCTAGGAAACTAACATAAGACCAGCCACCCAGAGACAGAGTAGCCCAGGAAAACTGCCAGAACAGTAATCCTAAGGCTTCAATACAGCCTTACTGGACCACATTAGCCTAGATGGTTCTCCATGAAATCTGTGAGGAATGGGAATGCTTGTCTCTCTTACTGTTGCCTCTTCTTGGAATGTCCTCTTTTCCCCCTCAGCCTCTTCAAGGAGCAGCTTATAAAGCTCACCTCTTCTGTGAAGTCCTCCCTGACTGTCAGAGACCATATTCTCCTCTGTGCTCCTGCAGAGCCACAGTTCTCTGCACGTCTGTATCTTCATTATCAGGGCCATGAGCTTCTCAAAGGTAAGGAAAATCTCCCTCAATTTTTAATTCCCAGGGCCCAGAGCCGGGACTGTAAAGGTACTCATGTATTTTGAGTTTATATGCACATTTATACTTATGTACAACAAGTGCAAGAACTTGCCTGAGGGGTCCTCTCAAAGAGTTACCTTGGAGAAGACCTCTCCTATTCTCAGTCACTAGGTCTCCCAGCACTTCCACAGAGCCAAATGTCTTCAGTTTCCTCCTCCAACACAAGTCTCCTCAGCTATAAAGATCTGCATTGTAATCACTGATATAATCTCCTAATTCTATACTACAAACATCTCTAATCATATTTCACAACAATTCTATTATCTTATTATGTCAATGCCCTTTCTTTCAAGGGTGACAAATGAATGAATGAATAAAACCATAATCTTTCAGTCCTGGAACATTCAGGGGATAATAAGAGACTTAAGATAAATTTAGAAAACACTTTTGAAGCTAGGAAGCCACAAGTCATTTTCAGAGAAAATGCCAGAAATGGAAATGGAGAGATAGCGTGAGAGATTCTCCCCTACCACCCAGTGGTCAAAGGGACAGATTAGTATTCCCAGTTGAACAAATTCAAACACCAGTTCAACTAATGCCATTTCATTAGAGATTGTTAAGTTTGCATGCATAGCGCTAGGCTAAATTCTGGAAGGAGGAGCTATCCTGGAGTTATCCATGAGACACACCCCTTCAGTGCTATCATTATGCAAGGCGCTCTGGAGGGAGAGTGCCAAACAAACGTGTAGCTAGCTCCTAACTTCAGGGATCTTGGAAAACAGCGGGAGAGGGAGCCTGTACTGAGCTGAGTAAAGAATAAAGCAGAGAATACAAGTGGATATGCTAACGGAAGCAGAAGTCACTTTAGGAGACAAACCAGGAGAATTTTATTGAAGGTAAAGAATTAATTGGCAGGTTTCAACACTGGAGATGGGAATGTATCTAACCACCTCCAAAGAGAATAAAGCTTGCCTTACCCTCTCCCGGACTTTGTCCTTCAAGAGGAGGCTGATGATGGAATAGGGCACTCGGAACCATATTGGTGCCCCCACAATCAGCACTTTCTTCAAACGAGCAGGAAATGCTCCCTATGGAGAACACATGAAAGTTTAAAGTATCAATTAAGGCACACTGACTCCTGAGACTGTTCAGACCCAAAGTATAGGTTTTCTGCTCTTGTCCCCATCCTTACCCAGCAGGGGGAGTCTACAGCCTAATTTGGGTTTCATTTCAGTAACTTCAGAGATAGTTAAAATTTTTTAAATTATACACCTGAAACTAATATAACACTGTATGTTAACTATATTGAAATTAAAATAAAAATGTAATAAAAAATTAAAAGCTGATTTACTTTTAAAAGTTATGTTCTGGGTGCCTGGGTGCCTCAGTCATTAAGCATCTGACTTTGGTTCAGGTCAGGATCTCAGTTAGTCCCACATCGTGTGAGCTAGAGCCTGCTTCTCTCTCTCTCTCTCTCACCCTCTTCCTCTCTCTCTTCCCTTGTGGGATACTGTCTGTCTCTTCCCCTTGTTCACTTGTGCCCTCTCTCTCTCTCTCAAAAAAAAATTATGTTATGTTCTTATTAACATAAGCTTTATGGATCAAAAACTATACTGCCTTTGTCAGCATATATGTGTGCATCCTTAAGTTCTGTTTACAAAAACTTTAAGAAAAATTAAATCATGAATAAACAGAACATGAAAGAAACATCTCTCTCATAACCTTTAATTCTGACATTTGTGTGTTTATAATCATTTTTTAACCCATCTCTTCATCTATTTTTGTATTCATTTATTCAATCAATAAATACAATCTAGTGGACTCATGGTCAAATGAGACATAAAGGGAAGGAGACACCTGATCTGCACAAAACATAAGAATAAAAGAGTATTCATTCCTAATCCACAGCTCTTGGTTTCCTTTGGTTTAATATGCCAGCCCTTCTCATGGGCAGGGATACCAAGTAATATTGGTATTACTGGAAAGAAATTACTCCTAAGGAATAAAAAAACAAACAAAAAGAAAATTGTAGCTAAATATGTTCTACTACTTTCTCCCTATTCTTTTTCAAAAACCTGATTCTCAATTTGACATGTCACTCTCTGGCTACTCTTCCACTGATCTGCAGGGGTCCATGAACATTCCCAATAGAGAAGATACAGCATCTAGAGCAAAATGTTCCATGGGTATCTTCACTAATGTCTGAGAAACTACCTCTCAATTCTTCCCTCAAAGATAAAATAATTTATTTCAGGGCCCAAAAAGCCAAGGTCAGATCAAAAACCAGTCTGGAGAAATACCTATATTTCCATGAAATTATAAATAAAAAGTGGAAGCCATTATATCTGTTTCTTTAGAGCAAAGAACTACACACACTCAGGCCTGTTCCCATTTTAATGACTGTTTGGCATCCACATATACTGTTGATGGGACGGGAAATAGTTACATCTTCTAGAAGGCATCTGGCATTATACATCCTTAAAAATGTGCATATCCTCTGATCAAGTAACTCTATCCTAAGGAAATAACCAGAAACACAAAGATTTATGAACAAAAATGTTTACTGCAGCTTTATTTTTGATAGTTAAAAATAGCACTTTAAAACTGGAAAGAATATATATGTCTGAAAATGGGTAGAGGTTAATAAAAATGATATTGTAATAAGATTATTATATAACCTTTAAAATGAAGATTTCAGGGGCACCTGGGTGGCTCAGTCAGTTAAGCATCCGACTTTGGCTCAGGTCAGGATCTCACAGTTCATGGGTTCAAGCCCCGCGGCGGGCTCTGTGCTTACAACTAGCTCAGAGCCTAGAGCTTATTTTCAGATTCTGTGTTTCCCCCTCTCTCTGACCCTCCCTTGTTCATGCTGTCTCTCTCTCTCAGAAATAAATAAAAACATTAAAAATAAAATAAAATAAAATAAAAATTTCAAAGATTTTTTTTACAACTTTGGAAAATGCCCACAATATAATCTTTTTTTTTTTTAATGTTTTTTATTTATTTCTAAGAGAGAGAGAGAGAGAGACAGCGTGAGCAGGGGAGGATCAGAGAGAGAGGGAGTCACAGAATGAAACAGGCTCCAGGCTCTGAGCTGGCAGTCAGCACAGAGCCCGACGCGGGGCTCGAACCCACGAACCGCGAGATTATGACCCAAGCGAAAGTCGGACGCTTAACCGACTAAGCCACCCAGGCGCCCCCCACAATATAATCTTAATTAAACTAAACAAGATCAAAACTATAACCTTAATTTTGTTTAAAAAATTATATACATATTTCACAAAGAAAAAAGATTATAAAGAATTATATCAAAAGTTAAACAGAGTTTCTCTCTGATAAGTGACATTATGAGTTGTTATTTTCTATAATAGTATTACTTTTATTTTTTACAACCTTATTTAAAATGTTTACATCCTCTTTTTTAAATGTAATCTCTAGGGGCACCTGACTGGCTCAGCTGGCTAGGTGTCTGACTCTTGATTTCTGCTCAGGTCATGATCTCACAGTCTATGGGTTTGAGCCCTGCATTGTGCTCTGAAGTGACAATTCAGAGCCTCCTTGTGCTCTTTCCTTGCCCACTCCCCACCCCCACTCATGCTCTCTCTCTCCCTCAAAATAAATAAACAAACTTCAAAAAAAAAAGTAATCTCCATGTGCAATGTGGGGCTCGAACTCATGACCCAGGGATCAAGAGTTGCATGCTTTACTGACTGAGTCAACCAGGTGCCCCTAAAATGTTTGTATCCTTGGATCCAGTAAGCCTACTCCTAGGTATCCACAAGCAAACTATTTTATGTGCAAAGATATGAATACAAAAAAGTGTTGAGAAAACTGTTTATTATAACAAATGGGAAGAAACATCCAATGACATAGAAATGGTTAAATAAATTATAGTAAATGCAGGATAGGCAATTATTCAGCAATTACAAGTGTTCATAAAATAAAGTTGTTGGAGCTCATTGTATCTTGAAATTGTATGAACATAATTAAGACCATATTGAAAAACATCTAGAATAAAGTGTCATACCCAAAAATGTCAATACTTTTTATTTTTGCATATTATCAAAGGCAGTATTTCTTTTTTTTTTTTAATTTTTATTTATTTCTAGGAGAGAGAGAGACAGCGTGAGCAGGGGAGGGTCAGAGAGAGAGGGAGTCACAGAATGAAACAGGCTCCAGGCTCTGAGCTGGCAGTCAGCACAGAGCCCGACGCAGGGCTCGAACCCATGAACCGCGAGATCATGACCTAAGCGAAAGTCGAACGCTTAACCGACTAAGCCACCCAGGCGCCCCGAGGCAGTATTTCTTTTTAATGTATACTAGTCTGGGTTGTCCAAAATGTTCTACAATGAAAATTTTTTCTGATTATTACAGAATTTTAAGTATAAAAGATAAATATGAAAAAAATGAGCCACCCTATAAACAATAATCAGCATAAAAATATAATGGTAAAAACATCTGATTTATAGTAACACTTATGCACACACACTATCTCTCTCCATATCTTTTTCTCCCTGAAAGTCATTGGTCTTACAAAAAAGATGATTTATATTTAGTGACTGCTATGTTTTTATATGTATGTATATATATATATTTTTAGCTTAGGAATAAACTACATAAGACACGTGTAAGATAAATAAAATAATTTTAAAATGTTATTGAAAGACATAGCAAAAGACTTTAAAAAAAAGTACAGCATTCTTGAATGGGAGATAATAACATTATAAAGATCAATTCTCCCTAAAGTAATTGTTAATTCATTATAGCCAAATAAAATCTGAGTGTTTCATTTCGCCCAAACATAACTGAATGACTCTAAAATTCATCTAATCAAAAGATGATTTTTTAAAAAAATTTTCTCATCAGATTTAAAATTTGGAAAAAGTGGTTATCCTCTGGAGAATGGCACTGGGTTTCAGAGACTTTTCCTTGAGTTGCTTTTTAACTGCTTTTATAATAAAGAGCTAGGAGTGCCTGGCTGGCTCAGTCAGTAGAGCATGCAACTTTTTTTTTTTTACATTTATTTATTGATGGTGAGAGAGAAAGTACCTGAGCACAAGCAAACGGGGGTTGGGGGGGAGGAGCAGAAAGAGAGGAAGAGAGAATCTTAAACAGGCTCCATGCTGTCAGTAGCATGGAACCCCACGCAGGGCTCGAAGCCAAGAACCAAGAGATCATGACGTGAGCCAAAATCAAGAGTCGGCTGCTTAACCGATTGAGCCATCCAGGCATCCCATTTTTTTTTAAAGATTTTATTTTTGGGGCACCTGGGAGGCTCAGTTGGTTGTGCGTTGGACTGGCTCAGGTCATGATCTCAGGTTCATGAGCTAGAGCTCCTCATGAGGCCCTGGGATGGCAGCACAGAGCCTGCTTGGGATTTTCTCTCTCTCTCTCTCTCTCTTTCTCTGTCCCTTCCCCACTCATGCACATGCTGTCTCTCAAAGATAAACAAACTTAAAAAAAAAAAAAGAAAGGTTTTATTTTTTTTTTAAGTAATCTCTACATCCAGCGTAGGACATGAACTCACAACCCCAAGACCAAGAATCACATACCCCACCAACTAAGCCAGCCATGCGCCCTTGAGTGTGCGACTCTTGATCTCAGGGTTGTAATATGTTCCAGCCCCATGTAGGGTGTAAAGTTTACTTTAAAAAATAAATTAAAAAAATACAAATACGATACTACAAAATACAATAAAATAAAGAAGAACTAGTTATAAAATAAAGTTTGTTTTCAATATGCATGTTACGTATCAATAAAAATTTAAGTTTTTTAAATGTTTTTATTTATTATTGAGACAGAGAGAAACAGAACATGAGTGGGGGAGGGTCAGAGAGAGAGGGAGACACAGAATCCGAAACAGGCTCCAGGCTCCGAGCTAGCTGTCAGCACAGAGCCTGGAGCCTGCTTCGGATTCTGTGTCTCCCTCTCTCTCTGACCCTCCCCTGCTTGTGCACTCTCTCTCTCTCCCTCTCAAAAATAAATTTTAAAAAATTTAATAAAAAAAAAAGTGAAGGAAGGGGCGCCTGGCTGGCTCAGTCAGTAGAGCATGAAACCCTTAATCTCAGGGTTGTGAGTTCAAGCTCCACATTAGGGGTAAAAAAAAAAAAAAAAAAAAAAAAGTGAGGTGGGGGAAAAATGAGGAACTACACTTACTGACACAGAGTAACCCATGACATGGAAAGAGGACAGAGACACAATTAACTGTTAAATAAAAAATGGCAAGTTGTAATCACTGGATATAGAACTCCATATTTGTAAAGAAAAGAAATCATATATCATTCTCATCAATAAAAAGAACTGAATCACAGTTCCCAATCACAATCCTTTTGGCACAACAGGGATCTTAGGAATATGATGCGTGACAAACGCAAAGGGCCAGAAAACACCACGCGGTATAATATTCTCCTATAATACTCTCCCTCTGCGATCTGTTCTAAAGCTGTAAGAGTAAAGCCCTTCTCCAGCTCCAATGACACAGCACGCCTAGACTCTTAGATCAGTGTTTTTCACACTGTAGGTTCTCACTCAGTGGGTCCTTAAATTAATTTGGTGGCTCGTGAACTAATATTTTAAAATATGAAATAGAGGGGCACCTGGGTGGCACAGTCGGTTGAGTGTCTGACTTTGGCTCAAGCCATGATTTCACGGTTTGTGAGTTCGGGCCCCACATCAGGCTCTCTGCTGTCAACACAGAGCAGGCTCTGGATCCTGTCTCCCTCCCTCTTTCTCTCTCTGCCCCTCCCCTGCTGGATGTCTCTTTCTCTCTCTCTCTCAGAATAAACTTTAAAAATAATACATAAATAAAAAAGAAAGAAATAGAATAATCAAAGTGACTGTACATACTAAGGGTAAAGCTTGTTTTGTGAAATGCTTTTGTTTTGTTTTACAAATATATACACACAGATCCACACACCCTTATCCTGGGATTCTGAAATCTTATTTTTAAATTTTTTATAGTTTTTATTTATTTTTGAGATAGAGAGAGACAGAGCATGAGCGGGGAAGGGCAGAGAGAGAGCGAGACACAGAATCTGCAACAGGCTCCAGGCTCTGAGCTGCCAGTACAGAACCCAACGTGGGGCTCAAACCCTTGAACCGCGAGATCATGACTTGAGCCGAAGTTGGACGCTTAACTGACTGAGCCACCCAGGTGCCCTCCTGGGATTCTGAAATCTAAACAGCTCTGAAAACCTTACGTTTCTTTTCTAAGTTTGGTGCAAGAATTCATGGAGCAGTAAAATCTCACTGAAATGCCACAGGCCACTTATAGCCTTTATTCTTCTCCACTCATTGTAAATAATACATTTTGTTACAAATATATTTTTAATTTTTTAAAATGTTTATTTATTTTTCTTAAATAGTTTATTGTCAGGTTGGTTTCCATATAACACCCAGTGCTCATCCCAACAAGTGCCCTCCCCATGCCCATCACCCCCCTTCCCCTCTCCCCCATCCCCATTAGCCCTCAGTTTGTTCTCAGCATTCAAGAGTCTCTCATGGTTTATTTATTTTTGAGAGACAGAGAGAGAGAGAGAGAGAGAGAGAGAGAGAAATGAGTAGGGGAGGGGTAGAGAGAGGAGACACAGAATCCGAAGCAGGCTCCAAGGTCTGAGCTGTCAGCACAGAGCCCGACGTGGGTCTCGAACTCACATGCTGTGAGATCATGATCTGAGCCAAAGTTGGACGCCCAGGCTCCCCTTCATGGCAAATATATTAATGTTTGATTATAAAGTGGCATATATATCATATTATCTTTTAAAGTTCAAAATACTACAAAAATAACACATAAATAAACTTCAAAATATTACAAAATGCTTCTGGACTTAAGAGTTTGGGATAAGAGGGGCACCTGGGTGGCTCAGTCAGTTAAACATCTGACTTCAGCTAGGTCATGATCTCACCACTCATAAGTTTGAGCTCCACATTGGGGTCTGTGCTGACAGCTCAGAGCCTGGAGCCTGCTTCGGATTCTGTGTCTCCCTAGATCTCTGCCCCTCCCCCACTCGTACTCTGTGTGTCTCTCTCTCAAAAATAAACAAACATTAAAAAAATTTGTTTTAAGTTTGGGATAAGTAAGAACTTACCTATATACAGAACTCTACACACATGTGTATAGGTCAGTGAACATGCACTTTTGTATATGAAGTCAACATGTAAAACATAGTTCTGACTACACGGAGACAAAAAAAAGTCAAAGTCACTGGCTAAGTGACATTTGTCAGACACTAAGCGTATCTAGGCCTTCATTAATTCTTATTCTAAACAACTCTAGGAGCGGGACAACCCACCTTCATGACTCAGAAAGTTCCTGTGCGTTTCTTATTTTAATTCCTCCCACTTCACTTTTAAGACCATTTCGTATTCTGAGGAAGCAAATATTAGTCATCATTTACAGGTGACCTTTACACTGAACATAATGTCTGCAGTTTACATCATTCCGAAGTCTCCCTAAGAATGGAAAGAAGTATCCTAACCATTGAAGGAGAGTTGAGGGGGCCCTCTCACATCCTTACCTTCAGCAGGTTTAGGACTTTCTTGCCAAGATCCAGCTCAAAGTTGGTATAATTAGAACCACACATGTCATAGATAAACACCAGTCCATTCCTCTGAGTTTCAAAGCTGTAAACCAACCATTGAACAAAAACATTTGTAAGTAATAAGATGGATGAGGTGGGTTGAAAGCCTAGGGCAAAATCAGAGGTTGGGACAGATGCGGGACTACCTCCCAGAACACTGGTTTTACAAAGAGATGATTTATCTTTGGTTTCTGCTATGCTTGATATGTTGCAATTTATAATAAAAAATACATATTTGGTCTTCAACATGGTTGCTGGCACAGAGCTAAAACTCTGGAATTCCTAAATGAAGAGAGAGTTAAAGGTGTCTCTTGTGATGTTAATAAGAGGACTTCTGGAATGCCCTTAGGCATCACTTAAGGATGGGGGTGGTTGCCAGGGGAACCAACCAGTGATTAGAGGGTTGGTACTTTTCATCCTACACCTCCTCCTACCCCACCTTCCCCCCAGGGAAAGGGACTGGATATTGAGTTCAATCTCAAACAGCCAATGATTTAATCAATCATGCCCACGTGATGAAGCCTCCATAAAACGCCTAAAGGATAGGGTTTGGAGAGCTTCCAAATGGAGGTGCTGAAAGAGTGGCCCTCTCAGAGAGGGGATGGAAGCCCAGCCCCCCTTTCACTAAAGCTTTCCCCATGCATCCCTCCCCTCTAGCTCTTCTGGATTATATCCTTTTATAACAAATCGGTAACCTAGTAAGTAAAATGTTTCTCTGAGCCACTTTAGTAAATTCACTGAACCCAAGAAGGAGATCATTGGAATCTTCAATCTATATAGCTTGTTGATAAGAAGCACAGGTGACAACCTGAACTTGCCACTGGCATCTGTGTATGGGGGTGGGGGGTGAGGGAGATAAGTCTTGCAGGGTTGAAAACCTTTAACCTCTGGGATCTGATCTAACAGGTAGATAGTGTCAGAATTGAGTTGAATTGTAAATTGAAAACCTTTAACCTCTGGGATCTGATCTAACAGGTAGATAGTGTCAGAATTGAGTTGAATTGTAAATTGAAAACCTTTAACCTCTGGGATCTGATCTAACAGGTAGATAGTGTCAGAATTGAGTTGAATTGTAAATTGAAAACCTTTAACCTCTGGGATCTGATCTAACAGGTAGATAGTGTCAGAATTGAGTTGAATTGTAAATTATTGATGCATATTTATCAAGTGCCAAACTCCTAGGCTAGAAATGTTCCAGAGCATCTAGGTTATCAAAATTTGAACTGTTTCCTCCCAGGTTTCTGAATCTGCCTATCCAAATTTTGTAACATTCCATCTTCAACTCAAAAGCTTCCTCTTCCATAAAGACTTCCCTGATAACCATGATCCAAAAGGGGGGTACTGCCATCCTTTGCCCCCTTGTAGCCCCATAAATCTTCCTGTGGGATTATTTTATGGCTCTTAAAGCATTTCAACATTGTCTAGTCATCTGATTCTCTCCTAGGGGGCACAAACATATTTTGTTCATCACTCCCAGTAATCCCTAGCATAGTCCTTGCAAATAGGTACATGATAAATGGTCACTGAATTCTCATTCAGTGGACTGGAAGCCCACTGCTAAGAAAATACTTCAGACCTATTGGAAAATGTAAAACAAAGCTCTAAGCTCATTGACGGTGAATTTCTCTCTTAGGACTTGGAGGAAGAGAACAAACCCACACATGGTGTTGGGAAAGCATCTTGAAAAATAAGAGGTGGTGAGCTTATTACTAAATTGAGGTTAAGAACAGGTGAAGATATGAAAAGTATTCTTCAGTTCAATCTCCTTACTCCCTAAAGACTTCTCAAAGCTGCACTCTTCAACCAAGCCAGATCTTACCGGCTTCTGATCTGTACACCAAAAAGGTCATTAGGAATAAATCATATGTGGGGTGCCTGGGTGGCTTAGTCGGTTAAGCGTCCGACTTTGGCTCAGGTCATGATCTCACGGTTCGTGGGTTCGAAACCTGCGTTGGGCTCTATGCTGACAGCTAGCTCGGAGGCTGGAGGCTGCTTCGGATTCTGTGCCTCCCTCTCTTTCTGACCCTCCCCTGCTCATGCTGTCTCTCTCTTTCTCTCTCTCAAAAAATAAATAAAACATCAAAAAATTTTTATAAGGAATAAATCATATGTTTGGATTACTCACAGATGATAGCAATAGCTTTTTTATCTATTTAAAATTGAGAAGATTTTTTTGGCACAAAACGATCCTGAAATCAGAGGCCCCAATGTTATTTTGTATCCTAATTCTTTGCATGGTGAAAGTACCCACCCATGAAACAGCAAATATCTCTAATTCTAAGGCAGACCCAAGTTTCTCCAGCAGTTTCTGAGTTTCGAATGGTCCTAATGGGTTACAGTTAGCATTGAATCTTGACTTTTTTTTCCCTACTCAAGAGAGACTACAGTTCACCAAGATCAAAGATGCTGTTCCACGATTGACACAATTACTAAGTAGATTATCCAGGTGTGGACACTTCCCATTTCTCCAGTAGCTCATCAATGGCCAGATTCAAAGAACTATAGGTTCTCCCCTTCCAGTGCCAGCCTGCGGCAGAGGACTGGGACAAAGAGAAGTCAGTGCCAGGGGAAACAGAATTTAATGAAAAGAAGGTTCAGTGCAGAATGAAAACTGCCAATCCTATAGAGGCATATGAAATAAATACAAATGTGGCAGGACTTTTGTTTTTCTGGGTACAGAATATGAGGTCTATAATAATAGCTAATTCTGTACTAAGAAGAATAAGAATAATCTTTTTTTTTTTTTTTCCTACTGAATTTGATTCCTGAGCTGGATGCTAACCCAGGAACACCAAGATGTTTAAAACATAGTCCCTGACATTTGTTTCAAAATAACTGAAGGTACAGGGTGGGTAAGAGGCTATCAGTGAAGTAAGATTGGTAATAGATCACTCTGAAGATAGATGATGGGTATCTGGAAGTTCATGATACCATTTCCACTCCACTCATAGAGATGTGAGGATTTTCTATTATGTAATGTGAAAAAGAAGATTCCCTGGCCTCATGGGAACTTACAGTCTAGTGGTAAACATCAAAAACAAAAGTATGAGAGAAGTGACATCATAAGGCTGTGCAAAATGCAATACAAAATAATTGATAGTAATAATAACTGCTGTTAAAGTCAGAGTAAAAAGCATTTTATTTATGACAGGTTGGTGTGGTAAGGGAACCAGTCACAGAGGTTGAGCCTTAAAGAAAGGGCAAGATTTACTGAAGAGGAGGGGTTTCCTCCTCTTGCATCCTGGTGAAAAGTTAACATAGGAAAACAAGAATTTCTACTCACTAGTGAGAATATTTTGCTTGGAGAAAAGGATTCACACTTATTTATCTTATCTGCACCTTCTGAATAATGAAGAGTCACTAAGGGATTTTAAGAAAAGGGTGAACAACATGAAAACAATTTTAAGTATGTTTATACCCGTGTGGTTCTCCTGAGGGATCCAGGCAGTGCTCACATTGGAGAGAGCAAGCTTTGGCCACTGCCATGCCTATAAGCATGCCTATAAGCCTATAAGCACTGCCATGCTCTGACTCTAAGCTGCCCAAGAAAGAAGGCCAGTGAATTTTCTGGTAAAGCACCTTTCATTCATTCTCCTGAGCCAAAGGATTTCAAAGGAACCTATATATTCTGGAAATGATGCCTGAAGACCAATCACGGGAAAGAAGAACTGAGAAATTCTATGCTCCAGGATAGGGGCAGTACAGGGCCCCGAGACCACTGGTCCTCTCTTCTTACCTTAGTACCTTCCCTTTCTCAAAATAATGCTGTGTATGGTTTGGACAGATCTCCCATTGAGCATCAAAAGCAGAAGCTAAATACTATGAAAGTAACATTAGGAAGGCGGCAAGAAGTGAACTAGACAGGGAGCCTCACCTCAGACAGTCACTTGGCTATCTGCACCCTCTCTGAGTCCACCGTATGCCTGATGTTGTACACAGCTATCGTTCACTATCTCAGGTTTCAGCTCTCAATATATCACTTCTAACAGCAGAGAACTAGCCAACAACTTTCAGTGCAATAACAAACTGTGGAAAAGGACAACATAGGAGGGTACAAATAGCTCCAGTCAAGGGCAAAGAAACCAAGATGTTAGGCCCAGCTGGACTGCAATGTGATGACTGTAAAGGAGTCACATAACTTCTTGGGTCTTCGGTTTCACTGTCAGTAAAACAGTCATAATACCATTTACCTTGGAGGAGGATGGAGAAATGACCTGAGCCAATTCTTTTTCCTCATGTCTCTGTTGATAAAGACGATTTTGCTTAACTTTATACTTTTGGACTCTTCTCTCCTGAATGCTGATTCTCAAAATCCTCTGAGCTGATGACATTTTTCCTATTTTACAAAGAAACTGAGACCCCAGAGTGTTTTGAAAATCAATATTGAGGGGCAAATGAGCACAAAGAACCAGCAGCACAAGTCACTTCCCCTTCACTCTCTTTCAATAGGTACTTCTCAACACGCTGAAGGTAACTAGTCAATTGGCTTTCTCGGCTTCTGTTATCCTGAAATAGAGCCAAGCATGTAAAGATACAGAATACCCACCATCTTGCTGGTGCCTGGAAACAAGCCAAGCCCTTAAGGACATGGAACGTTTTCTATTCACAGCACTTCCCAGAACACGTCCTAGGAGCATGGTGAAGGCACTGCTAAGTACATCAAGTTAGTCAAGGACTATCATTTCCCCATGTGGATAAAGACCCAATAAAAGATAATCTTCATGCTCACCTATCTACAGCTCTGTCTAGCAAGTAAAACAGAGCCTGAAGTACCACATGTTGGACTGACTTATGGGGATGATGCAATCTGGCAGTGAAGAGGGCAATGGAAGCTCCTGTTGGGTCCCGAACATTCTAGAGAAAACAAGAACAAAAACAAAAACGAGAAACATTTAGAAACGAAATAGATCACAACAATCACTAAGGCTTTTCCTATCCTAGACAGAAGTTTCATATGGAGAGAACAGATGCTGGCAATACTCCTCTGACTTTCATCAGTTGCTCCAGGAACTGAAGAAAGTTTATTTCCTCCCATGCCTGATGCTCAGCACTCCTTGGATCGTTATTTGTGTGGTAGGAAAAACTACGCTCCCTTAACTCATCAACTGCAGAGAGATTAAAGGGTGGTCTACATTGGCCGCCTAGCTAATTTCCTAGATAGAATGGCAAAAGAAACAGGCAGCAGGGGAAAACCACAGAATGCAACCGTGGTTTCCATGCTCTGCCTTAGAAGTGCCATTGTATACTTATTGGAAAGGCTGTGGTCTCTAGGGGGAGGCAGGTTGATTCCAGGAAGGATGGGCTAGATACCCAACCAAACTCCTTAACTAACCTTAATGGGCCAAAGAAGAAACTTTGCTCCATCTACTGTACAACTGAGTCTCCATCATTTCATTTGTTAGTAGAATACTCTTGTACAAACTGTATAGCTGCTTCACGTTTGCTCCCAAATGTTGAGACTCTCTAGATTCGGGATAAGGTATCCAGGTACAAAAGGAAGTAGCAAGACATTACAAGAGAGGTTCCTAAAGACTCACTAAGATGGTGAATTTTCCACTAAGGATCTCAGAACGGAGAGGTTCCTCATGAGGTTTCAGCTTCACGATGCCCTCCTTCCTTCGTGTTTCCTAAGAATAAAGCACAGCAGGGTCAGTTAGTATGTAAATACTGTATATCCAGGACAGCTTTATGTAACCATCACATCTCAGAGATAAGGGACTTTGGAAGTCCACTAACTGGACCAGGAATTCCTTAGTAACATGCTTCAGGCCAACTGAGTGTTGTCTGAATTCTCAGCCAATGCCACCTTCTCAGCGTCGTAGGTGTGGTATTTTGCTTTAAATCACTGAGAAGCCTAACACTGAAATCCAACTAATATGTATTGTTAGAGTACAGGGTCAAACTTCTTAAACCTATATCAGAAGTGATATTATAGCAGGATATTAAAATATGCACTCAAACACTGGCTGGAAGCAGACACCCTCACATAATCCTCTAGGCTCAGGCCTCTCCCATCTTAAAATGGAGCCATCCCTCCCCACCGATACCTTCTCCAACAAGACCTACCATGACCTCAGTTTTCTTATGTCCACAGCAAGATTCTTTAAACTCATGCTCAGTTCCCCTACACTCAAGTCTATTGCATTCTCATTTTCCCTCAATCTAACTACCCCACAGAGAGGTCCTGGTCCAGTGCTAGGACCTTCCTTCCTGTCGGTGAACCCAGTCAGCATTTTCAGTCCTCCTTTTACATGACAAGGTTGACCACTCACATTCCCTTTTCCCCAAGACATTCTTTTATTTATTTATTATTATTATTTTTTACAAATAGTTTATTGTCAAATTGGTTTCCATATAACACCCAGTGCTCATCCCCACAAGTGCCCTCCTCCATGCCCATCTCCCCCCTCCCCCCCTACACCCGTCAGTCCTCAGTTTGTTCTCAGCATTCAAGAGTCTCTCATGGTTTGCCTCCCTCCCTCTCCTCCACTATTTCCCCCCTTCTCCCCCACGGTCCTCTGTTAAGTTCCTCCTAATCCTCCTATACGTGCAAACATACAGTATTTGTCCTTCTCTACCTGACTTATTTCACTCAGCATAACACCCTAAAGGTCCATCCATGTTGCTACACTTGGCCAGATTTCATTGTTTCTCATTGCCATGTTGTATTCCATTGTATAGATAAACCACATCTTCTTGATCCATTCGTCCGTTGATGGACACTTAGGCTCTTCTCATGTTTTGGCTATTGTTGAGAGTGCTGCTATGAACATTGGGGTACATGTGCTTCTATGCATCAGCATTCCTATATCCTTTGGGTAAATTCCTAGCAGTGCTATTGCTGGGTCCTAGGGGAGTTCTATTGTTAGTTTCCTGAGGAACCTCCACACTGTTTTCCAGAGGGGCTGCACCAGTTTACATTCCCACCACCAACCGTGTAGGAGGGTGCCCGTTTCTCCACATCCTCGCCAGCATCTAGAGTCCTCTGATTTGCTCATTTTAGCCACTCTGACTGGCGTGAGGTGGTATCTCAGTGTGGTTTTGATTTGTATTTCCCTGATGAGGAGGGATGCTGAGCATCGTTTCATGTGTCTGTTGGCCATCTGGATGTCCTCTCTGGAGAAGTGTCTGTTCATATCTTCTGCCCATTTCTACACTAGGTTGTTTGTTTTTTGGGTGTGGAGTTTGGTGAGTTCCTTATAGATTTTGGATATTAACCCTTTATCTGATATGTCATTGGCAACTATCTTTTCCCATTCCGTCAGTTGCCTATTAGTTTTATGGATTGTTTCCTTTGCTGTGCAGAAGCTTTTAAACTTGATGAGGTCCCAATAATTTATTTTTGCTCTTGATTCTTTTGCTTTTGGGGATGTGTCAAGTAAGAAATTGTTGCTGTGTTCAAGGAGGTTGTTTCCTGCTTTCTCCTCTAGGGTTTTGATGGTTCCCCAAGACATTCTCTATCCCAAAGACTACTCTCTCAGTTTTCCTATTTCTTCAACTACTGTGTCAGAGTCTCTTTTGTGGGTTTTTTTTTTCATTTGCTCACTCAATTCACTCACTGACTCATTCATTTATTCTGCAAATATTTGAAGAGCAATTATTATGTACCAGGCACTGAGCTAAGTGCTAGGAACACATTGGTGAATGAAACAAACTAGGTCTTTGTTTATATTCTTGCCCAATTCATTCCTCAAATCAAATTCAGAGGCAGGGCAGCACTGAGATTACAGGCAAGTGCATGCCTAAAGCACTCACATTCAACTTTTAAGACAATACTGGACCAAATAAAGCAAAAAATCTGAAGTGAAGTTCTGCCCTACACATCTTCCTATTCCTCATACTCTCCTGGGATTACCTCACCCTTTCTCATGGCTCCCGATACTCAGCTCTACTTTGGTCCCTCCAAAATCACTACTTCTGGTCCAGATTTCTTCTTTATTTAAAATTTCTTTGATGTTTTTTATTTATTTATTTTTGAGAGAGAGAGAGACCGCGTGAGCAGGGGAGGGTCAGAGAGAGAGGTAGACACAGAATCCAAAACAGGCTCCAGGCTCTGAACTGTCAGCACAGAGCCCGACATGGGGCTCAAACCCACAAACCATGAGATCACGACCTGAGCCGAAGACAGACACTCAACTGACTAAGCCACCCAGGCGCCCCCCCAGATTTCTTATCTGAACCCTAGATTCACATTCCAACTTCTTAGAGAACATGTCTATTTGGATATCCCAATGGCACTTCAAACTTAACATGGCCAAACTGAACTCATTACCTTGTCTTTCTACACACCTGCTCTACCTCAGTGTCTCCTAAAATTAGTGAATGCCACCACCATTTACCCTGCCACCCTAATCAAAGACCAGGAACCCTGGACTCCTTTTTCTTTACACACCAGTTTAAGCAACCCTGTCCTACCAATTTTTATAGAATCTGCCCATTTTTCCTCTTTCTCCCCTGACACTACACTTAATGACACCACAATCATCTCTCTCCTAGTAAGTACAATGATCTTCTAATGGGTCTATCTCCAGTATAGCCCTTCTTTTTTTTTTTTTTTAATATTTTTTATTTCTAGGAGAGAGAGAGAGACAGCGTGAGCAGGGGAGGGTCAGAGAGAGAGGGAGATACAGACTCTGAAATTGGCTCCAGGCTCTGAGCTGGCAGTCAGCACAGAGCCTGACGCGGGGCTCGAACCCACGAACCGCGAGATCATGACCTAAGCGAAAGTCGGACGCTTAACCGACTAAGCCACCCAGGCGCCCCTCCAGTATAGCCCTTCTGATCCATTCTATAAAGCACAGTGAGAAAATCTTTCCAGGATGTAGATCTGATCAAGTTATTCTGTTTTTTCCTTCAGTCAATTTCTCTGCCCTTAAGAAAAAACAGATACTCTATGATCTGGCCCTGTTTACTTCTTTTTTTTAAAGTTTATTTATTTTTGAGACAGAGAGAGAGAGAGAGCGAGCAGGGGAGAGGCAGAGAGAGAGGAAGGCAGAGAACCCGAAGCAGGCTCCAGGCTTTGAGCAGTCAGTATAGAGCCTGATGCGGGGCTTGAACACACAAACCAAGAGGCCATGACCTGAGCCTAAGTTGGATGCTTAACCGACTGAGCCACCCAGGCGCCCATGGCCTTGTTTCCTTCTACTGCTCAATCTCTTGCCATGTCCCCACTCCCACTGAGCACTTCTGCTCAGCTCAATATCTCTTTTGTCACTAGGAATCTGAACTTGCTATTCTCTCTGCCATACTCCCCTACCTGTCAGATTCCTACTCATTCTTCAGATTTTAATTTATAAGTCATTTCCTTTAAGAAGGCTTACCTGCCTCTTTTAATGAAATGTGCTTCCATAGAAGCAAGCTGTATCCTATCATAACTTTCTGTAATTGTGTGTTTACTCTCTCTTTCTAAGTACTAATCTCTGCACCTGGAACACAGTATGTATACAATAAATATGTGTTGAATAAATGAGTGAATATTGTATGAGAAGGACCCACAAGATAGGTCTAAGTGAGTTTTTAGTCTTAAACTAGTCCTAGCATGCCTTATCTTCCTATTTTCTTTAACAATGTTTTGTTTTATTTTATATTTTCAGAGAGAGGGAGAGCACACAGGGGAAGAGCGGCGGGAGAGAGAGAGAATCCCAAGCAGGCTCCATGCCTAGTGTGGAGTCCAAGGCAACCCTGGGATTATGGCCTGAGCCGAAATCAGGAGTTGAATACTCAACTGACTGAGACATCCAGGAGCCCTCCTCCTTTTTTAATTTAGAGAGATTCTGCATCTCTTCAGAAGAGTTTTCTGACTCCAAAGTAGGGCTCTTGGATATTGACCACAGCTTTTTTTTAATGGGAATGGGGTGAACACTCAAAGAAGCAGTGTGTGTAGTGCGCACAGCAGCACAGAGAGCCCATGCCACAGGTCCGGCCCGCGTCCAGCTACATACCCGGTAGGAGTGGAACAACTCTATGGCGCGGAGCACATCAAACTTCCGGGCCATGAGGAACTTGACAGCCACATTCCAAGAGAGAGGGGAAACATTGTACTGAACTGTCCATTTGTTGATCTCTTCAAGAAACTGCTTGGTGGCCTGTTTGACAAAGAAAGGAAAGAAAATACTAGTTAGTAGAGAACATATTTATAGACACAACAAAGAAGCAAGAAAAAACATCATCCTTTCCTCAAGCAAATCTGAACCCAAAATTTCCTATAAGGAGCAGGGAAAGACAAAAGAGGGAAAACAGGTCTGAAAGTAGAAATGGTTAAAATTCATACTACTCAATGAGGCCAGAAGCCAGAGTCAGGTTCAGAGAGCAGGGCTTAGCAAAGGGATGCGTGAAGAAAAAGTGAGAGGGAGAGGGGAGACCGAGGCACCCAAGCAGGATGCAAATTGCTGACCCCAAAGCAAAAAACCCTGCAGTTTGTTTTTGTTGTTGTTGTTTCAAGATTAAAAAAAAAAAAAAAGGTGGGTGGGCCCCTTGAAGGGCTATTGCATAAGTGCATCTTGGTGCCACAGCTGCTGTTTTGGCCCTACAAGCCAACTGGATACGCAAGACCATCAGAGAATGGTTTTGGCTTTGGAATCAGTAATACTATTTGAGAGCAGCAAAACTATTAAAAAAGAATTTAACATATCAAAAGGCCAGCTGTTTTTTGCCGCTGACTGACCCCACAGGACCTCTGCATGCTTCCCAGCACAGCCCCCACATCAGACAGTGGTGCCCAAAGGCACTGACAGCCCTTCTGGATAGTGGTGGTCAGGGAGGGCCTCATATTGGGAAATTTTCACCTTCACTCTCTGATCCCAAGCTGGCAAGATGCCTATCTGTAGAATTCTTCCTGTCTCTTGATAAACCCATGTCCTTCTGTCCTTTCTCCACCCTATTTATTTTTTTTAAAAAATATTTTATTTATTTCTGAGAGAGAGAGAGACAGCAAGAGCAGGGGAGGGACAGAGAGAGAGGGAGACACAGAATCTGAAACAGGCTCCAGGCTCTGAGCTGGCAGTCAGCACAGAGCCCGATGTGGGGCTCAAACCCACGAACTGCGAGATCATGACCTGGGCCGAAGTCGGACGCCCAACCGACTGAGCCTCCCAGGCGCCCCTCCACCCTATTTCTCCTTACATTTATAACCAATTTCTGCTTTAGCCAAACTACTCTTTTGTTTCTTCAGTTTTGAACAGGATTTGTAACAGAATTTTTTTTTTTTTTTAAGATTTTTTATTTTTAAAAGCAGCCTTGCGGTGCTTGAGTGGATAAGTAGATTAAGCGTCAGACTTTGGCTCAGGTCATGGTCTCATGGTTCATGGCTTCGAGCCCCGCACAGGGCTCTGTGCTGACAGCTCAGAGCCTGGAGCCTGCTTCCTCTCTTTCTGACCCTCCCCTGTGTGTGCACATTCTCTCTCTCTCTCAAATAAATAAATAAATATTAAAAAAAAAAAAAAAAGGAATCTTCACCCATACTGGGGCTTTAACTCACAATCCCAAGATCAAGAGTCTCCAGTGACTGGGCCAGCCAGGCGCCTCTACATCAGGATGTTTTGCATGCATATTCTCAATTGCTAAACACTTTCTGCAAGGCTCTCTGGTCCCTTCCACCCAAACACTTTTCTCACCTCTTGGTCCAAAATGTGACCAACTTGATAAGAATTCTGAAACTTAATTGATCAACCAATCAACCCACAGTTAAGACTTATTTATTAAAATATTATGGATTTATTAACTATTTGTTAACATCCGTGCTAAGAAATATAAGGAATGCGAAAACAAGGTTTGCTTTAAAGGGTGTAAGAACAGTCTACTATGTAGCCATGGACGAGGTAATTGTCTCTACACCTCTAATTTTTCAATTGAAAAACAAGGGGGAAAAGGGTAACAAGCAATTGACCTACTTCAGACTCCTGGCAACAAAGTTCTACTTATGCAAATAGAATTCAAGTTGCTACATACGTGTTCAAACAACTAGCAAACTAGAGTCCTAGGAAAGTTGGCAATACCTCACAAAAGAGCACCGGATTCAACTTAGGAAAGGTAAAGGGCACTTTACAACCCAGGATAAAATATAAGAAGCTGCGGGCTGCACCAGAGCTTTAGAACCTTCCAATCAAAGCAATATGACTTACACCACTGGAAAAGGAGAGAAGCAGCTAAACTAATCAGGCAAAGTGCATAAAAAGAGCCAAGAAATAAAGGCCGTGGAGAAAAGCTTTCAGATGATCACTTTGGCACAAAACCAGTTTAAGTCGGACCAGAGCAATGAGCCCCAGAGAAGATAGCAGGACAAACAGAATGCTCCAGCAGCTAACAGGCTGAGCCGCCTCTGTAGGGTGAGTGGCCAGCATCAGAATGAGGAAAGACGGAAGGGACAAGAAGAGAAGTGGGCACAGAAAGATCCCAGAAACAAAATTTCAGCCAGCCTGGAAGGTCCCCCAGGAGATTTTGTAAAGGGTGTTTGTTTTTTGATTAACACATCATCTTTAAATCCAGCCTTGACTGAAGCTGCCTGCAGAATAAAACACAGTCACAGTAGAACGTACTTTCCCTCTTTGTCTAATAAAGACAATAAGTAGACAAATCAATATGCAGGTAGGATGGGGAAATATAAATAGGTAGGGGGTGAACTCATAACACATCCCGTTAAGATGATTTTTCATTTTTCACAAATAAGCCATGTCTTAATAAGGGACACACAGGTTTCACACACTTCTTTCAAAGTACGGACGCACTGGCTTCCTTCTTACTAAACTCCGTTCCTTCAAAGTTCTTAATGTCCTGTATCTTCCTAGAGCCGTTGCCTTGAGCTGACCTCTGTCCCCTGCTGGTCAGGATGTTATTCTTGGCTTTAAGCACGGGAACAATTCCTCCCGATTTGGCCTGACTAGGCCTTGCATGAAGAGAGTCCAGTGTACTGTAAACATTGATGTGATATTTACAGATACAAATACACACACACACACACACACACACCATCTGTTACGTTCAGCCTCGGATTCACCATCCTGCATCCCTGTCTCTTTTGTGGAAGAAACGAACCTCTTAAGGAAGTCAGAAAGGATGGCCTCATTTTCAACAGGCTTTCTCTACACAGTGAATCAGGTATCTTCCCCTGTTTACACATGAATTCAGTGCAACCACTAAGTATAGACCAATTTGTGGTCCTGTGGGTGCCAGAAAAACAAGTCCCAGCAATTTTAATGAACACCACACTCTTCATAAGAAATCACTGAAATTCCTGCAATTAATATTCAGTGTTATTTCCTGGTGAACAAAAGAATGAACCAAAAGATGAGTCACAGCTTATAAAAGACTTCAACTCAAGGTCAATGGTTTGAATCTATCTAGGCTTATGAGTTAACTGTAAGTTGTTAACACCTGGCACATAAGGCACAGTCACAGTTCAAACAGCTTTGGCCTTCCTCTGGGAAAAAAAAGGCTGAACTGGTGTATGGGAAAAATTAACATAACCACTTGCAACCCTCCTTGACCCACTTTTCACGTACCGGTAAGATTTGTCTCAGCATAGTCCAAAGCTTACTATAATTACATAATTTTTCCACAATCACGTTTAAGCGGATAAAAACAAGTTTCTTGAGTATGGCCATGAAGATAAAGAAACTGGGGAACCTGCTAGAATAGGGCTGAGAAATCTGTCAATTAAGTGGATTGACCCTGGGTACTATCCACTGGTGTTAAATAGGTTATTGGAGAGAACAAAACCAACATTCTTCGGGTTACATCAAACTCCCCAGGAGCAGCTACAATGTTCAGGTGAGCTCTATGCAAAGGGCTAGCCACCCGAAAAGTCAAGGAAAACATGCTGGCCTGCTCAGTGCCACAGTGTCTTAAATCCTGTGCTCCAACACAGTGTAGGAGAGAGTGAAAAAGAGCCAGACCTATAAGAAACCTGCTTTTGAAAGAAACCGAAAACTTCTGCCTCTTGGGATGTCAGTCACCTAACCACCAAAGGACATGTCAAGTGGGTGTGCAAATCAGAAAGAACCCATCTTCTCACCACTGCTGTGCAATATTTGGGCATCATTTAACCTCTCTGAGCCTCAATGTCCTCATCTGTATAGATAAGGCGTGAATAAGACAACAGATAGAAAAGCACCAAGGCATCTGGGGCGCAGTAGGCAGTATCGGAATGTATATTCATTCTTTCTCTTTACTCCAGTCATTCTACACTAAAACTTATTTCAACAGAGGTACGGTTCCTCAGAATCCAGTGACTGGGTCTCTTCAGCCTGGAGCAATTCACTCTCTCTAATCCATTTTATCCAAAAGCATAAATTTAAATTAGAAACCTCCAGTATGTGTTCAACTGCATGACAAAAGTCTCTAAAAGAGCAACCATTCAGGGCTCTTGCACAATACAGGAGCTGGGTCAGGAAGTATTTACACCCCTACTTCCATCTCTAAATCCTTTTGTCCCTACTTTCAGTCTACACTGCCATCCCGAGCATTAAGCTGAGTAGGGATTATTTCTCATTATAATGCACTGAATATCTAAATAAGGAAAATGATCAATATAAGCCTCTGTGTCTGTCCATTACCTCTGTAACAGGTTTTTGAGGTTACTAACTCTGTATTTCATCTAATTCACTCTTTCTTCATTAGTTTCAGGGCATTAGTAAACTATCTTAGTAAACTTTCTCTTATGCACGTTTTCCTGTCTTTTCTTCCTTGTGAATCATTTTGTTATGTCTATTAAACCCTTCAATTCATACCAATCTGCTAGGAAACAGAATCTGAGCTAAGACACACTAGCTTGCTACAATGCAGCAAGGTGGTATTTGTTCCATTTCTAAACTGTAAACTATAATCTTTCCGTTAGCCCTTTGTTATTGTGCCAAATATGGAAATAAGCCTTATTCCTTTGAATTAATGTTTACTTGTTTATCTCAAATATCTTCACTTTCTTAGGAAATTTTGCCTTTCCCTAAAATGTATTTTTAAAAGAGCCATTTTTAAAAAAATCTTAACTCCAGTACAGTTACCATACAGTGCTATGTTAGTTTCAGGTATACAATATAGTGATTCAACAATTCTACATATTTCTCAGTGCTCATCAAGGTAAGAGTATTCTGAG